CATAAAGCATAACACATACTGCTTAAACCTACGCCATACATGAAGTGTAACACTCACTGCTTAAACCGGCACCATACATGCGGTATAACACATACTGCTTAAACCTACACCATACATAAAGTATAACACACTGCTTAAACCTGCACCATACATGAGGTATAACACATACTGCTTAAACCTACACCATCCATGAAGTGTAACCCATACTGCCTAAACCTACTCCATACATGAAGTATCCACACAATGCTTAAACCTACACCAACAATGAGGTATAACACACACAATATACTTTTTAAATGTGCACATACCTTTAGCTTCATCAGAAGTGTTATATTTCATATCATATTTTACCTGAAATACCCATATCGAAAATCAGTCAACAAACACAAGACATACTTATCACTTCAAAGGAAACTGTTTGTATATGGATTATTTTCTTTAAAACATGAATAGTTTTTACAGACGACATATGTAACTGTAAGACAGTGTTTAAAATAAGCGACACGGGAATCAGCACAAGTGTGAAACTACAGGCAGTTCCTGGTAAGGGTGATTGAGTGTGTGAGTTGGGTTTAACGGCACTTTTAACATTATTCCAGTTATATCGCGGCGTGTCAGCTTAATGTGGGAGGAAAGCCCGAAGTGATGCAGGTCTCAGACGTCACCCGTGCCCCCCTCCTGGTAAGGAGCATACAGTGTTCAGTTATAATATCCTCTGTTTCCTAGTAATATGAAATCCAAATCAAAATAATATATTCTAAAAAAGTAGGACCAGGTAAAATAAATTATATATATTTCATATGGGTATACACACCCTGATATGATGAAAATACTAAAGTGGAATCAAAGTGACGTTTAATCTAACTATTTAGTCATTTTTGTGACACGATAGTTGTGAAATAAATGTCATTATAATTCAATGATTGTAGTGACTGTGTGCGTGTGCAGTGTACAAGTGAATGGCTGAGACATACCATATTGTTCCCATAACGAACGTATACAGTTATTTGTCTTTTGTTTGTTTGTTTGTTTGTTTGTTTGTTTGTTTGTTTGTTGTTTAACGTTGCACTTAGCAATATTCAAGCTATATGACTGCGGTCTGTAAATAATCGAGTCTGGACAAGACATCATGAGCATTAATCGACGCAATTTGAATACGATGACATGCATCAACCAAGTCAGCGAGCCTGACCACCCGATCCCGTTAGTCGCCTCTTATGACTTATTTGCATCGATATGTAGGCTAACGATAGATTGATGTATTCATATACAAGTTTTGGGTGTGACAAGGCTTGTTACGTTGTAACGTCGATGTCAAGGCGACACATTTATCTTGTTGGGATGGGTTGGGTGTAAAGTGATAAGCCATCTTCAATGGAATTAGATTTCAATGTTATTTTTTACCAATCAAAAGCCTGTAATGATATGTACATTCTGTAATGGGAATAACGCATGAACAGTAAGCTTAAGTAAACTTTTATCGTCAATCAAATGCGAGCATCATGTTTTCAGTCACTCGTTTGGATTCGAACAGGTACATGTCGCTCTAAATATTGCTAAGCAGCGTGGCTACAAGATGAAGAAGTGTTAGAATAAAAGCGACAATAATCTTTAAATATTCATAAGACATCTCTGTCGCGAAGGTAGAGTCGACTGTACGATTCCGACTATATCATGAGCACGTGCTTATGAATCACTTAGGGGGCACTTTAGAGACTTTAGATAAATGGCGCGTGCGGGTGACGGAGGCGACAACCTCTCCTGGACCGCAAGGGAATACAATTGACTGGGGCACCTAGCCAACGGGTGTTTCTAAACATGGGGCAAACACTTATAGCAAACTAACTAGTATGTCTCCACTGAAGATTTAACTATCAAAATAAAGCGCTGAACATCATTAAATATTCACGACAATTATTGATGAGGTAAAAATGATCATAAATTCATAAGAAATAGCTGAATGTAGATATAATTTTCCCTAATGTTTGCGGACCATAAACACAAAAACAGTTTCAATACAAGAATATGGTAGCGAACAGATAAGATCACAAGAGAACGAAAAAGTCGGGCCAATAATTCTCTCCCACTGTACAATTGTGACTTTGCCGAGCGATGTCGGAAATAAAGCGGCAGTAGACCGTGATATGAGCCAGTTAACGCCCCGGTGACAGTAGCACCCGCTACAAACACATGCAAAGGCAAATCAATTGTTCACCTGTATATATATGGGATATATATGATACAAGTCAAAATAGGTCACAGCATCGGACATCATTTTTGTACCAAAATACTTTACTGAAGCCATGAATGCTGTTACGTTGATCAAACAACTTTGGAGCAAGAGTCGTATGACGTTCTTTGAATTCCTTGTACAAAAGGCATGCTCGGTTGTACTTCAAGATTTATGAAATATAGACACCAAAGGCTGGAACTGCTTGAATAATGTTCGACATGATGGGAATGTTGACATCTCTCTTGTCATACGGTCTTGCGAAGAGTTGATTTGTCACTCTTAATCCTTATGCACGGATATTTGTCACTCTTAATCCTTATGCACGGATATTTGTCACTCTTAATCCTTATGCACAGATATTTGTCACTCTTAATCCTTATGCACACATATTTGTCACTCTTAATCCTTATGCACAGATATTTGTCACTCTTAATCCTTATGCACAGATATTTGTCACTCTTAATCCTTATGCACACATATTTGTCACTCTTAATCCTTATGCACACATATTTGTCACTCTTAATCCTTATGCACCGATATTTGTCACTCTCAATCTTTATGCACTGTAGACAGGCAGTATTGACTACAATATAATACTTCCTATTTAACCATTCCCTCAAGTTGGGTTCGATGGCATCTTGATGACAGATGCCTAACATATGGAACACCATAAAGCTGTGAAACTCATATGTCCTTCATGCCATGGTCACATTAGTGCTTAGATGTGTCCTATTTTCAGTTCTCTTTTCTATACACAAAAATACTCGAATATTGGATCATGTTGTGTATAAGTAGAGGACATATTTGACCTGAGAGAAAGTATTTCCCCTTCAATGCTTTACTTACGACTGTGATAAATAAATAACCTTATCATAAGCTTCCAAGCTATGCACACATACATGTATACTATTCACAAATAATTATATACGAGGGGATATCAAAAGGTTTTGAGCCTCACACAGTATTCATGGTCGAATGGTACAATGCGCTACACCCGATGTACATGAATGTCTTAGCTACTGATGCTATGTAGAAACATATTGCTGGCTTCAATAATTTTGTCACAACACTTCGTGGAAGAGACCTACTACTAGTGAATTGGCAAAATGGACAAATCTGAGTACAGAGCGGTGATTGAAGCAGGTGCGCCAATCCATCAAGGTGAAACGCCGTGGAAAAATCCGTCGTGGGATTCTGCTTCACCAGGACAACGCACCAGTCCACACGAGCCGCGTTGCAATGGCAGCTGTGCAAGAATGTGGCTACGAACTCCTCCCTCACCCACCCTATTCGGAGATTTTGAAGATGACGATGATCTAACTGCTGCTGTGGAGGGTTGGTTAGGGGACCAGAATGTTGACTTCTACCGATCGGGCATCAGTGACTGGCAAACTAGGTGGAACAAGTGTGTGGAGTTGGGAGGGGAAAAATAAAGTAATAACAATCCAATTCTTTTACTTTTTCTGTGTGAGGCTCAAAACCTTTTGATATCACCTCGTAAATAACGTCAACGCCAGAGTATAACCATTGTCGACTATCCGTCGAAACAGATTCCGTCCACAAAGTACATTATTCCGAAAATGCCTACCTATGATCGATGATGTTATTGATTACCTTTAAATGTACAACTAATGGTCTTGCTTGGGTTGATTGTCTCAGTACGTCCTTATACTGTAATTTAATCAGTATAGCAGTGAGGAAGGAACACGTAAGGAAGTTCTTGACACTGTCATGCTTTGTATCATTTCCTTGTCACATTTAACTGTCCTCAAGTCACAAAGTAATTCTCTAATATGCCACTTCTCACAGACATGCTTAAGGTTAAATTTGCACACACGGAAGGAAATTGTATGGGTCACGGGTATTGTAATGCATGATTCCCAAGTCCAACATTTCCTGTTATACGTGTGACAACGCGAGGCTCTTACGAATTTAAAAGACCGACTACGCCCCGCGACAGTTTGTCGCTGGTTAGGTGCTGATAGTCACGGGATCGACACAAGTGTAGGTAATATGCTTTATCCAACAATGATTCAACAGCGTAAACAGCGTGTATGTATGTATGTATGTATGTATGTATGTATGTATGTATGTATGTATGTATGTATGTATGTATGTATGTGTGTGTGTGTGTGTGTGTGTGTGTGTATATATGTGTGTTTGTATGTATGTATATAACTTTGCATATATGTACATTGTATGTATGTGTGTGTGTGTATGTATGTATGTATGTATGTATGTATGTATGTATGTATGTATGTATGTGTGTGTGTGTGTATGTATGTATGTATATAACTTTGCATATATGTACATTGTATGTATGTATGTATGTACGTATGTATGTATGTATGTATGTATGTATGTATGTATGTATGTATGTATGTATGTATGTATGTATGTATGTGTGTGTGTGTGTATGTATGTATGTATATAACTTTGCATATATGTACATTGTATGTATGTATGTATGTACGTATGTATGTATGTATGTATGTATGTATGTATGTATGTATGTATGTATGTATGTATGTATGTATGTATGTATGTATGTATGTTTGTATGTAAAACCATTCACTCACTCACTCACTCCTTTTCCGCCAAAGTACATCTACTTTTGTTCGATGTCGCCTGTCACGATGACATAGAAGTGTTTTCAGTTCCAAAATGGCAGCCAAACAGGGAAATAAAATATTTGAATGTTCTCATGACATGATTACAATTCCTCTTCATGTTCAAATGTCAAACTATCACGCGCCAATGATAACAGTTTCAGATGAGATGATACTATGTGACTACTGCGGTGATGACATCTCACCAGCGACTAACGGGCATAAAACAGCAGATAAGATATACCATCAAGAATGTTTCAAGTAAGTATTAAAGTTGAACATATTCAGTAATCATTGTTTTCTTTTAAACGTTTATACCATAGAATCCAAATACAAAGTTTGTATTCGTCTTTTTAAAATAAGGTTCACATTGTACCAAGGTGAGGTGAGGTGAAATTGGGTTTAACGTCGCGTCCGAGATTATTGCACTTATATAGCGACGTGCGTGCACGTGTGTGTGTGGCTGCTTGTACTAGTTCGGACTGATGCCGATTTATAGTGCTAAAACACTGAGATACCATGCCGCAGTTTAACATGAATACCCCACTCAGACACAGTATACTGACTGCGAGCCGACCAGTCCTTGTTTTAGCCCCCTTAATGCCGAGCGCCAGACAGGGTAACAACAAGTACCATCTTTTAACGTATTTTGGTATGACGCGGCCGGGGATCGAACCCCGGACCTTCCGCTCTCCGGGCGGACGCTCTACCATAAGACCACGGAGGGTCCCTTGTACCAAGGGAACTCATCGCAGAACAAGTAACAGTTTATCAATAAATATTATTTTGCGTATTACTATCGTAGCCTTTAGCTTCTATTCAAAGCTTTCTTAGAATGCGGCAAATGATAACACTCTCTATGACGTAGACATTATATTTCAGTCACCATATCCCGAGAGGAAAACGTGCTCTTGATCTCTTCAGAAAAGATTCTTCACAATCTAATGTTTTTCTGACAGCAATACATGTCAACTATTTAAACGGACTGAAAGGTGAAAACGCGGAACAAAAGAAACAGAAAAGGGTTAAGAGAGACAGCAAAGTAAAAGTGTTATTGAAAGAAGTGACCGCCCTGCGCAATTCAACCTCTGGTCAGATCTTAATACACCTTGTGGGTCGTGAACAGCAGGATACATTCAGCGGGGCCTTTGACGAGTTCATTGATGAAAAACTATTGGGCTTAATCCACGATGGAAGTCTTTTCACTGACGTGTATACGAAACAACCTATGTGTGCATATGGTAAAGTTCTGCAGCAGCTGAAAGACAAGAAGGAAGACGAGTTGAAAACACTGACAGAGGGCCACAAGAAAGACTGTGATCAACTGATAGAACAAACGACGTTAGAGCTAGAAGTGATACGACAGAAGCTACAACAAGAGGAAGTGGCAGAGTTTCAGAGCTTCACGGATATTATAGTCCTTTCTGTAGAAGGGGGAGACTATCTGACAACAACTGACTTTAAGACCAAGATAGCCTTGGATGATCGAATTATCAACCCTTCGGATCAGACTGTACTTACTTGTCTGAGAAAGAAGAAGCACTTTAGCGAAGTGTTTCATAGACCAGAGCTATATTGGGACATACACGATCTACAGGAGAGCAGGTCAATTCAATTCAAAGGGTACTACCCAAAATCAAACAGCAATGATGAAGACATTCTAGATTTCATGTTTAAAGAACACAAGCTTCTGGAATACGCAAGCGCATTCACAAAGAACGATATAGGTGGATCCTATTTCGTTGGCGTAGCAGAGAGTGATGTGTGCTTTGGAAGCAGTTGCTACAAGTCAAAGGCATTTGCAATTCAACAGGTGCCAATCAGCAGGTGTGAAAAGCTTGCAGCTAACATAAAGAGAACATTCGAAGAAACAGTATTGGTGTGCGACTATTATGGGAATAAAAGACATGATGTGGATTTAGTGAAGGTTGAATTCCTTCACTCACTGACACGCACCGGGGCAGACAGTACATTAAATACGACAGGAGGAAACTTTGTAATACATGTAAACATCAAACCAGTCAGTGGGATCGTGTTCTATGACAGACAAGGACCATTAGCCTACAGAATAGTCAACAACACTGTCACAACATACACGCTCGAGGAGTGGTTCCGGGCAATTGCTGCGTCATCCCAGGTTTTCTCTCCTTAACAATACTGCATAGGTAATATGATCATACCCATGACCTTGCTTATATCCTTCATATATTATTATATATGGTGTCTTTAGTTGCCGTATACGGTACCATATTAGGTTAGGAGAAAAATATTGGGCGAGGTGTGAGCGAATTTATATGCCGAAAAGCTGACACTCTTTGGTATCTTTATCGCACATATCATGTCAAAATAAAAACTTGATACTTACAACTGGTATTAAAGACCAGTATTAAAGGACCAGTACATATGTTTTTCCGATTAATGTAAACATAAAACGTTAACAATGGTATATGCAATGCACTAAACGCGAACATTTAAACAAATATTATATAAACATGGATAGAATTATCACAAATATGCCCGCATGTTATCAGAAATCTGGAGGCCAATGTCACTTGATAGCAGTCCGCTTTTCCCTAACGACGGGTTGCTATCTTTTCTTTTGCTAGGTGACGTCATTGGTGTCACGTTTCTTATTTGTGACGTCATTCTATATTAAGTTCTATGACGTTGCAATTTATAATTCATTGACCCCCCAGCTTTTTCTCTCTATAGTATTTATTAATAAAGTCACGAACGTGGTTTCTTTAACAAATAATGTATTTGCAAATCACAATCAATGATACTAAAACACAAACAGTGTCGAATAACGAATTTCTGAACCAGAATTGTCATGTGAAAGATGTGAGGTGGGTGTTGGAAAATCCAAAATTGCTGTTACTAACGGTATACGGTCTCATATTAGGTCAGTAACAACCATCTTGGATTTTTACTGACGGTATACGGGGTTAGTAGTTCTGCTCTATGATTGGTCAATCTCCCGCTGTCATTTACATAAGGGGACAAGTGTAGCCCAGTCGTCTAAGAAGCCGCAATTAGCTCTGCAGAGTTGCGTCACATGGGCACGCAAGAAAGCTGCGGTTGTGGGTTCGAATCCCGGTTCGCCCCGATTATGTTTCTAGGTTTCTCAGCACCATGCCAGTGTTCGTGGGCTTCTCCAAAGTGGTAAACATCTGAGATCTGCATCACTTCGGGCTTTCCTCCCACATTAAGCTGACACGCCGTGATATAACTGCAATACTGTTCACATATGGCTGAAATATTGCTAAAAGCGGCGTAAAATCAAACTCACTCACTCACACATAATCTGAAAACAAGATCCAATTTAGTCGCCACCTACGAGCAACAAAAGGGAAGACACAAATACAATAGGCCATAGACAATATTTTGAACCCATATTCCTTTTTATATTCTGATAACACATGAGCACCAGTTAAATAAAGATCAAGTGAGCGCTCCTTGATTCGTGATATCACTGTCGTACAATATGATCATACATTTATATTCTGAACTGAAGAAATTTAGTTAGCAAAATGATCTTGTTATTTCAGATCAGCAAGTCAACTGGTCAGATAATGGCGAAACTTGAGGTAAACATTTTCATCATCAACTCTTCATCATTTACTGATATCAAGTCCTCTGAATCTAATCCCATGTACAGTGTATTCTGTGAGTATGTACAGATGATACAACTGTGTCTGGCATAATTTGATTGCAAAAGAACATAAGTTTTACATTCTCGACTGCTCAGTGTCTGATATCTCCATTTTATTATGATATATTCATCATAGCCTCGGTTTGGAATTAATGTCACAAACGCATTCTCTTTTATCACTAACTTTGCAAAGAATTTCTCACGCTTATGCGCTTGAAATCAGCAACAAAAATCAAGAAGCCTCTTCAGAACGCTTTTTCAGACAAAGATCTACATCACAAAAGTCCTTGTACGATGAGACGTTCCTATTGTTTTTGTAAAAGCAAGCAAAGATTGATACGAATGCCAGTTTAAATTATGACAGTGAAATTTGATTGGACGTCTATCTGTTTGGTTGTGTCATCCGAACATATCTGAAGACGAAGCTAATAGTTCCTTGGTATGTATCCTAAGAGAATGGATATATGACACACTGGGTCATCAAGGATAATCGTGTCATTGATTCAAACACTCCATATCTATTCGGGGTGGTCGGGCAGCCTAGTGGTTAAAGCGTTCGCTCGTCACGCCGAAGACCCGGGTTCGATTCCCGACATGGGTACAATGTGTGAAGCCCATTTCTGGTGTCCCCCGCCGTGATATTGCTGGAATATTGCTAAAAGCGGCGTAAAACCATACTCACTCACTCACCCCATATGTATTCATGTTAATGTGTTAGATTGGATAACTGCAATAGATTGGAATATTTTTCAGGGAAAAGTGAAGACAGAGGAGGAAAACGAATTTCATTTGACCAGTAAAGATTTTCTTCGCCCTCCTTTGAAACAAATAGGAAGAAGCATTGCTGAAATCAAAAGTTACTTTGGGAAGCAAGGTACCCTGCATCATTCATGCACATCACTAATATATACTTGTTAACACGTCCATATATACCCATAGTGAAATTAAACTATGATCAGCTTCCCATCACTGAATCAACGTACAACAAATGTATAAAAATAAATTAAAAACAATTTTGTTTTCAACAAAAGCTCTGTCAAAATGACTGCTTCACTTCTAAGCTGTTGTGTCTTGATACTTGGTTTGATGTGTACACAGAAGCTTGTTCAACGTCAAAGGTCCTGCAGTACATATTGTTATTGATTTTCAGTGATCAATTAGTGTACATGAAAACAGGTTGTCTTGTATTTTAATATGAGTCTGAACTAAAAAATCTTTGATTTACTGTTTTCTTCCTGTGGCAAATTTTCATTTGAACAAAATACATGACTAATTGAGTTCAAATTCATATGTTCCTATTTCTTGAGGAATTACCTTCGTTTCATTTCACATATTTTATTCCAACTCCATATTACAGGTATCATCAACATTGTGCCATCCAGACCGAACGAAGATCTGGTAAACATTAATGATGATTTGGTGTCACGAATTAGAGGGGATGGATTTCTATTCAAGGAAAACATAGTGAAAGGTGCAAGTTCTGAAACATGCAAGGACACATCTGGCCTTGTACTGTTGACAAAATCCGCTGTGCCAACATTCAACTTACCTACGTTGCCACGAACATTGCCACAACAATGTGATATTTTCGTGGCAGTGCCCCAACAACCCCCTTTGTTGCTTACAGTTGTTGGGGCTTTTCCGGAGACAAAGGATGTGAGGGATTACAATGCGCATTTAACCAGAGAAGTGACTGCTAAGTTGCGGTTGTTTACGAGTGAGAGTTTTAACATTGTACATGGGATAATCTGTAGAAACGATCTGAAAGATAGTGGATTGTTCCAGACGAGGTTGCGAATACACGCAATGTTATCTTCGTTCTTCCTTCCACAGTCTTCATTCTCAATGAACCGAAAGAAGTATGATCAAGTTGTGACTGCGTTTTGGGCAGTTATTGCTGAAACAAAGTCAGTATTCACAGAAAATGGGGATCCTAATGACATGGTCATAAGGTTTCTCACTAAAGAACAGTGTCTCGTCTTGGTGGAGAACATGAACAATAACCATGTCCAGGTGAGATGTGAAACAGGCAGTGGCGCTACGACACTGATGCTTGAGGTGGCCAGGAGACTGAGCAGGCTGGGGGAAACTCTCCTGGTGTGTAGGTCCAAGGAGGAAAGGGACCGACTGAGGTAAATATAAATTTTTGTAATCGAAATCATGGAGGAGGGGTTGCCTCCAGCAGCTTATATATGTGACAAGTCATTCTCAGATAAAACATTTTATGTCTGGATACATATGGCATTTACGCATCTGTAAAATTCATCCGATTCTTGGTTATGTTATGTACGGATCCATTTTTCAGGTCAGTGCACCCATCAACAATATCACTGTACGATGTTGGGAATTGTGATCTGTCTAAGTTTGAGAACGTTGTCCACGACACTCATGCTATATTGCATGAAACAAGTGGTCGTCACTGGCAGTTTTTAAGAGGTGAGTGTTAGATTAGGGATCAATTCATATCATCCATCTTTCATTCAAACCACAAAGGCCCTAAAGGTGTAGGACGCTATACTTTAAATGGTAAATGGTAGCTCTGTGAGTAAGTATATATTGTTATACTACAGGGTTTACAGCTGATGAAATGTCCTAGTTAAAAAAGGGGTGCTCTTCCTAGTTAGGGAAATGGAAATTGTACATCATTTCTTTTTACAGATCCAAGTACTGCAGACCTGAAGAAGAGTTTGGCTTCTGTAGAGACGGTAAATTCAAATATTCACCATGTAACAATCGCTTTCCTCAACAACACAGCTACTTGTGCGTGCATTAATACGTAAATACAGTTAGCTGGGCATAATGTATCTGTGGCAAATGTTTGGAAATATGATCTGGTTCATTAACAGAAGACCAGTAGAATAGGTCTTCATCAACCCATGCTTGCCGTAAAAGGCGACTATGCTTGTCGTAAGAGGCGACTAACGGGATCGGGTGGTCAGACTCGCTGACTTGGTTGAAGCATGTAATCGATCCCAATTGCGTGGATCGATGTTCATGATATCAATCACTGGATTGTCTGGTCCAGACTTGATTATTTACAGACCGCCGTCATAAAGCTGGAATATTGCTGAGTTCGGCGTTACACTACAATCAATCAATCAATCAATCAACCATTTAATTAATCAAGCAAGCAATCAACACAAAGTTGATGCCCCTGGTACTGATACATAGGTATGTAGTCATCTTCATTTATCCAATAAGATGGTAAAACGTGGTGTGCTCAACCTTTTCATTCAAAGGGATTCTTGTTTTAGACTTCTTTCGAATCAAACAAGGCAACACGGTCAATATATCCATATAATGAAAACCCCTCAAAGGAATTGTTCTTCTCAACATTGTGGTTGCAGTGGTTACAGTGAAAAACATTCAATATATGTTTCAGGTTGTAAATGCGATGGACAGTCAACTGGAGGCAATGAAAAGTGGTATGTTATTTAGGGAATGCGTTATAAAATGAGAAATGAATAATAACGACCCTTTATCAATAAATGTTTTAAGGGAGAACACCTAATTCCATGATTATTATTCCCTTTTCAGAGGAGTGGAAACAAAAGATGAATTACATGCAGTCTGAAATGGATGTTCTCAGATTATTCCATCAACTAACAGGCTCTCATGTCGTAAGTTGTGTTGTGTTGGGGAAAAGATGGCAAAATCAATCTATTCTGGTTCTTGAAGCCTTTATCCTCCAAACGCCCCATGAAGTACACATCTGTCTAGCTGTTATCTAACTTCGTATGACATAGTCTGAATACAATGGACTCTGCTCTTAGCAGAATTTTTTTATGTTTATGGATAGGGTTTAGTCGCTTTTATGTATATTTACAAGTATAACATAGCTTCGCGATAAATCGCAAGAACAATAAAGAACGTAGCGTGTTTTATTTCACGGTCAAACATTGTTCTATCATGTCGTCACTTTTAGAGATTCGAACATGCGCTCGCAACTTGATGACGTCGTAAATTGGACGACGTAATTGCTTAGCGGGAAGTGTCTAGTGAGTTGTTTACATACATGTAGCTGGACAACGTAGATAAACGCAACGGCCAAAGGGTCGCATCGCAAAGTGTGGGGATATGGGAACCGATATTGGGAGAAAGGGTCTTGATAATCGACTTGCAAATTGTCAGAACATCCGGGAAATACTAAAACAGATCCTCCTATTCATAAAATGTACGTGTCCGAAACTGCCGAGGTACGATTGTATTCAGGGAGTCATCATTATTTGAATACGGGTAATTTTAAACATTGTACATTTTATTATTCATTTTCCAGCTCAACACTATCAGCCACAAAATGAATATGCTACCTGAAAAGTCTTCAAAAGACAACATTTCACTCCGTAAGTGGGACGTTTTGTGTCGAATTTAAACCTGATGGTGCTCAATGGAATTTAGTGTAACTCTCTAACCTGGTTTCTATTCGTAGTAACCATCACTGTTTTAACGTTAGAATAAATGATATGGTATATTACTCTACTATCTGTACCCTGTGCTCATAATATTGCAATTTGACCATGTCTATAATGGTGTTGTCACCAAAATTAATTCGAATCTGATTTGTTTGTTTGTTGTCTAACGCCGCACTCAGCAATATTCCACCTAAATGACATCGGTCTGTAAATGATCGAGTCTGGACCAGACAATCCAGTGATTGATATCATGAGCATCGATACGCGCGATTGGGATACGATGACATACATCAACCAAGTCAGTGAGCCTGACCACCCTATCCCGTTAGTCGCTTCTTACGACAAGCATAGTCGCCTTTTACGGCAAGCATGGGTTGCTGAAGACCTATTGTACCCCGGATCTTCACGGTTCAGTTCTCATCTGAAGTTATTCTGTATCTGCGTCAATGTACTTTATGATCCATATAAGTTCAAAGATTAACTTCAATGGTTGTGTTAATTTAACACAATATTTCACATAGAGTTTACTTATCATTGGTAATAAATCTGTTTTGTAGCATCACTGGACCTTGCTCTGGAGCCGGATGTACAGGAACCTCATCTGGTGAAGTTTATGGAAGGAATACAACATCAAAAGGACCCTTTCCCTATTCTGAGACTGGTATGACAAGACTTTATACGAGTTTAAAAAATAAGTTGTATTTGTGCTTCTTAATTCATTTTGAATACCCTCTTTCAATTATCCTTAATTTTAAATGATTGTTTTCATCCAATATTATTACTATTGTCCAGGCCGTCATTGAAGGGAAGACTAAGCTGATGTACCTCACAGCCAAAACGACTTTCTTGGAAAAGGGTATGTACTGATCGATGTTATTAATTTAGTTCGTCGTCATGAGATCGGTAAAATAAAATCACGAAATTGTTCAGTATGGTGTCTATATATGAAATGATGAATATTTCACTTGTATTACATAGAAAGATAAAACTTTTATATCAGCTTCACTCAATAATAACACTTATGTCTATATATTGATGTCACAACTATTTTATTCAGCTACCGAAGCTTCTGGGGATACACATCATACAAAGGAGGAGGAGTCACTACAAGTATGTACACAGTGACTATTTTTATTTAACTAATACCCATCTCAACTGACATTATGAGAATCGATCTATGCAGTTGGGATACGATGACAAGCATCAGCCACGTTGGCCAGCCTGGCCTACCGATCCGGTTAGTCGCCTTTTACGACAAGCATAGTGGCATTTTACGGCAAGCATGGACTGCTGAAGACTACTCTAACCAGGATCTTCATGCTTATAATGTAGCAGGAATTGTGAATTGATTTGAGAGATTTCGTATGAGTATGAAAGCCTTGTGTCGCTTTTATTCATATGATGTTAGTGAGAGCATTTTTTATCAGTCATAATTATTTATTATTCCATTTCAGGAGAAAAACCAGAGCAAAAACGTACAACAGTGTCTAAACACCAGGAAAGGTTTGTTGTTGTCAATGCGGACATATAAATTGATTATGTAACGTTATTCACTTCAAAATGTGATTTCGGTCTTTTGATACTGAATGCATTTTAGTAATAATATTGTTTAACTATAATATCAACATTCATATACTGTGCATGGGATGCCATACTGTTTCGAAACTTAATTTCACAAAGACATCTGCCCCAGCAATGCTCTGAGGTCAAATGAATGACGGTCAGGGAAATCAATCAAATGTCAACCTATATTCCATAGCAGAGGAGAGGGAAAAACAGAGGAAGAAACAGAAGCACAAGAAGAAACACCCTCAGAAGCCGAGGCACAGACGCAGCTCCAAAGAAGAGGATGAAAACTGTGCTTCGCCTGTTAGTTGAAGTTTGTTTTTTTCCTTCGTTATTCCCTTTGTTCAAGAGGACTGTAAATCTGTCTTATATCAAAAGATGACACTTTACTCTTTTGTACAAATTATTTCATGAATGCAATGGGGTGGTTTTTTTCTGAGAAGCCTGCCTAATTATATTACAATGAGTTATAGCGCCCTAAAAAATGATTTATATCAACCAAGTAATATAACTTAAGCAATTACGTCAATACATGCGTACTTTCAGATGGTTCTAATATAATATTTTTTCATTCCATTTTGTAAAGAATGTTGTCACTTACAACCGTTCTTAGAGCACAAGCTATTATGCATATTTCAATAACATAATCGACACCAGATAATCGCTTCAGCGTTAATTCAATATAATTGTATCATCAGTGTGTATAGGAAAACACACAGTTCACAGTGAATCTTGAATATGTTTACAAACTGTATTGTATGTCTTCAAAGATATTGGGTGTGTAAAATCTGTTCTTGTGTCTTCTTCCTAGGACGTATCTAAACAACATCCCCCAGCTATTTCAGAAACGCAGGGTCAACTTCAGAACACAGGAGCGGACGAAAGACAATGGTGTAAGCATAACAGCGTCCTTCGTCATTGACGCCTTTACGTGCGTCACATATTTCAATGTCATTCCTCATGCACCCGTTTCACCTAACTTTGAATATGCTGGTATTTTCTCTACTTTCCCAAGAGAATTAATTCCTCCCTGGGTGACCCCAGTAGTGTCTAAATTAAACGCTTTCACGTTCTAGTGTTGCACTTTGTCAAATCTATCAATACTGATCATTCAGTATTTCATTGAAATATTCAGTTGATTTACAAAGTCTTATTTCATCTGAATTTCTGTTCAGATAAGAACTCTTTTTCCTCTGCAGCATTTGATGGAACTGACAAACTCAAAGAAAGATTGGAGAGTCTTGAGAGGGTAACACAACCAATTTTAATCGTACACTGCTTTTTATTTATATTATATTCAAGACACAAACATATTCTGCTGTCAAAATAACTTCTATTTATATGAATACATTTTCAAAAAAATCGGTTAATGCCGTAGAGAAAATTATTATGAACGGTTTGTTTTGTTTCAGGCAAGGGATGAAAACATAAGGCAACTGGTTCCTCTTCTCAGTGGTAATTATACTACCTAATGGTAAATAGGTAACGTACTGCCGCTGGTAATTATACCACCTGATGTTAAATAGGTAACGTACTGCCGCTGGTAAGTAAAACACCTGATGTTAAACAGGTTACATATTGCCGCTGGTAAGTATACCACCTGATGGTAAACAGGTAACACACTGCCACTGGTAAGTATACCACCTGGTGTTAAACAGGTAACACACTGCCACTGGTAAGTGTACCACCTGGTGTTAAACAGGTTACATATTGCCACTGGTAAGTATACCACCTAATGTCAAACAGGTTCCATATTGCCGCTGGTAAGTATACCACCTGGTGCTAAACAGGTTACATATTTTCACTGGTAAGAATACCACCTGGTGTTAAATAGGTAACACACCGCCACTGGTAAGTATACCACCTGGTGTTAAACAGGTTACATATTACCGCTAGTTTGTATACCACCTGGTGTTAAATAGGTAACACACTGCCACTGGTAAGTATACTACCTGGTGTTAAACAAAATTAATATTCCGCTGGTACGTATACCACTTGATGTTAAACAGGTAACACACTGCCACTGGTAAGTATACCACCTGGTGTTAAACAGGTTACATATTGCCGCTGGTTAGTATACCACTTCATGTTAAACAGGTTACATATTGCCACTGGTAAGTATACCACCTGGTGTTAAAAAGGATACATATTCCGCTGGTACGTATACCACCTGATGTTAAACAGGTTACATCTTGCCGCTGGTAAGTATACCACCTGATGTTAAACAGGTTACATGTTGCCGCTGGTAAGTACACCACCTGATGTTAAAAAGGTTACATACTGCCATTGGTAAGTATACCACCTGGTGTTAAAAAGGATACATATTCCGCTGGTACGTATACCACCTGATGTTAAACAGGTTACATCTTGCCGCTGGTAAGTATACCACCTGATGTTAAACAGGTTACATACTGCCGCTGGTAATTACGATTCTTTTTGCATACATTTCAGTATAAAGGAGGGTACCCTCCACTGCATACAACAGTGACCTTTTCCATTGTTGAACATTTAAAGTCGATTTATTCCTATTAGGACCCTCAATATTTACATTCGTAATTAAGTTGACTCGAATTGTATGCTGATATTTATTGTTGCCTAGTTGAGTGGCAGAACACACTGGGCTTCCTGAAAAGAAATACGGTCACGCTATCCTGGTTTGGCGAAGACACGAAAAGATTCGATTATGTAAGTATACACATCTTTATGACCGATGCACAAAGCTTGACTTTGCAATGACATGTGAGTTAAACTAGCATTAATGTAGAACTTATTTTACCCTCAATCTCAATAATTATATAAATTACGGTATTCATTGGAAATAGATGATATAAATATATTATGTGCAATAACCAGCACCAGTGAAAATGAAATATGTTGTTAGATCACTGTTCTTAGATTAATCCTTTATTTGCTTTGGATCCAAAGATGGAAACATATTACTTCAAATTACACTCGTGCATTAAAAAAAACTGTATTTATGGATTTGGTTCACTGTTTTAGGATCAGCTAGACCGACATGGCCCTCTGGTGCACGAAACACATTCTGACCAGGAAGGTATTTGTCAAGGAAATTCTAAAATGCAGTTACAGTGGGGGCAAATATCTACCCAAGGCTTTTCCTTAATTTGCTGAACAAGAAGGGCGTTCAATTCACCTCTGCTTGACAATTCATTTCTCTTGTGTCATGTTTGAAAGGGGGTGGATTAGGTGGGGGAAACGGGTTGCACAGTCGTCTGAGGCGCCGCAATTCGGTTACATGCAGAGTTGCGTCCATGGGGCACACCAGAAACCTATGATTGTGGGTTCATCCCGATACCCGTACTCGTGGCTTTCACCGAAGTGGTAAACATCTGAGACCTGCATCTCTTCGGTCTTTCCTCCCACATCAAACTGACATGCTGTGAAACAACTAGAATTATGTTACAAGCGGCGTTAAATCCCTCAATCATTCATGTTTTTAGTTATTCGGTTGCCTTCTCTAGATTCGATCATGTACAGCTATCAGAATGATTGTAAGATTTGGATTTGTCTAAAAGAATCCCCAAGTCATATTGGCCATAAAAATTTCTATTCCTACATTCCCTTAAAATGGGTCCCTCAAACTGGAAAAGGGGAAATCTCTAAATGTCCAAATATAGAAAGTTTTTTAATGCCTTTGAAAAAAAAGACGAAACTGTTCTGAAGTAAAAGAATATATATGCTCGAGTTTGTACAAACACAAAAAGCAAACATTCAGCTTGTCTGTGGCTCCATTGCAGATCAGGAAGGTCCACAAATTGACACTAAAAGCAAGAAAGGATTCCATTCAGATACAAAAGAGGTAAGATTTATGATATTTGGGAAACTACACACGCATTCAGACGTACGCTAATACAATATTGTGTATGTGTAACGATTGCATATAACTGGTACAAGTATAGCAGCAGCGAGTGGGAATCGTTCCCATAGTTTGACATTATCGTATTCTAAAGACGTTATCCTAACACGCAAGTAATTTTAATGGCAATTCAAAAATACAAAAAATAATGCTGATCTGCTTTTTTGTTTGTTGCTTTCTTTCTTTACATGATCCCCATGCAGATTCTGGGTTCGAACCCAGCAAGCCAGACTTGTCATAAGTGGCGACTGACATTGGTCGGGTGGTCAGGCTAGCTGACCTGCTTGATTGTGTGTCCTCACGGCAAGGGGTATACTCTTTATTATATCAACCGCTTTGTCAACAGTTTGTATGGTCAAGAATAGATGAACATCAGACAGCCGTGATGTAACTGGAATAGTGCGGTAAAGTTAAACAACATCCCCCACTCACTTATGTATAAAGCTTTGTGTTGTCACTAGTCTCCTTGGTTTCATCTTTAACGTAGATGTATCGCCTGCTGTGTTGTAGTCATATTTGTTTGGTTTCAACCTTTAGGATATTCTTTGAAGGTATGTAATAAATGCCATTCTAGTTCATGGTTTCTCCTTTTTAGGTTGCAGTGCCAAAGGGCCATGACAGCACAAGATCACCATTCAGTTGTGAGTGAATGAAGGATCATTTGCTTGCATTCGTAACATCCTCATAAGAGTTATCTACTCCTAATAATACGTAGTTGTTGCTATACATTAGGCGTCAGAAAAGCCTCAAAGAAACAGAATGTTGATTTTTCATCACAATGGTCAGGGTAATATGTCTAATTCCCACATATGTGTATTTGTTGCAAATATTGTCACATTTCCCAGGGTGTCAAAGTGTCATGTGAGGTTATCGTTTATGACATACTGTTACTATCTGTCAATAATGTGATTATATTCCTAATCTATGTTTCTTCTTTTCTAACCGTCCATTCATTTCCTTTTCTAGCACGAGTCATTGGGCAACAACGTTGCAAGCATGACAGTCCAGTTCATCAGCTCAGGAATTTTCAGTTGGGAAGACTGGATGTTATGTGCATTTATAAAATGCTGGGACGGGTATGTTCACTCATCATCAAATGTGGTAAATTTGAACGTGTTAAATTTACAAAAAACACATGTACTTTACTGGTAGCTCCATGTCACGCGTAACACTTTACTCGCAGCTGCCACTAAACGTGGGGCGTTTTACTCGCATCTGTATGCACACGAGGAACACAGCTCCATATCAAGAGGAACACTTTACAAACAGCTCCATGTAACGAGGAACACTTTACAACAGCTCCATGTACACGGGGAACACTTCACGAACAGCTCTTTATCACGAGGAACACTTTACAAACAGCTCCATGCACACGAGGAACACTTTACAAACAGCTCCATGTAACGAGGAACACTTTACAACAGCTCCATGCACACGAGGAACACTTCACGAACAGCTCTATATCACGAGGAACACTTTACAAACAGTTCCATGCACACGAGGAACACTTTACAAACAGCTCCATGCACACGAGGAACACTTCATGAACAGCTCTATATCACGAGGAACACAGCTCCATATCACGAGGAACACTTTACAAACAGCTCCATGCACACGAGGAACACTTTACGAACAGCTCTATATAACGAGGAACACTTTACAAACAGCTCCATGTCACGATGAACACTTTACAAACAGCTCCATGTCACGATGAACACTTTACTGGCAGCTCCATGCACACGAGGAACAATTTACAAACAGCTCCATGTCACGATGATCACTTTACAAACAGCTCTATATAACGAGGAACACTTTACAAACAGCTCCATGTCACGATGAACACTTTACAAACAGCTCCATGTCACGATGAACACTTTACAAACAGCTCCATGCACACGAGGAACACTTTACGAACAGCTCTGTATAACGAGGAACACTTTACAAACAACTCCATGTCACGATGAACACTTTACAAACAGCTCCATGTCACGATGAACACTTTACAAACAGCTCCATGCAAACGAGGAACACTTTACAAACAGCTCCATGTAATGATGAACACTCTACAAACAGCTCCATATCACAATGAACACTTTACTGGCAGCTCCATGTCATGCATAACACTTTACTCACAGTATTAAGAACACGAGGAACACTTTATTACTCCATGTAACGAGGAACACTTTACAACAGCTCCATATCACGAGGAACACTTTACTGGCTGCTCCATGTTACGCATAACACTGAACTCACAGCTCCATGTCACGAGGAACACTTTACAAACAACACCATGAAACGAGGAACAACAGCCCCATTTCCTGGGGAACACTTTACAAACAGCTCCATGCATACGAGGAAAACTTCACGAACAGCTCTATATCACGAGGAACACTTTACAAACAGCTCCATGCACACGAGGAACATTTTATAATCAGCTCCATGCACACGAGGAACACTTTACAAACAGCTCCATGCACACGAGGAACACGTTACAAACAGCTACATGTCACGATGAACACTTTACAACAGCTCCATGTCACGAGGAACCTTTACAAACAGCTCCATGTCACGAGGAACACTATACAGACAGCTCCATGCACACGAGGAACACTTTACAAACGGCCCCATATCACGAGGAACACTTTACAAACAGCTCCATGTCACGAGGTACACTTGACAAACAGCTCCATGCACACGAGGAACCCTCTACAAACAGCTCCATGTCACGCGTAACACTTTACGAACAGCTTCAATGTACATGTACTTGAGGTACACGTTACTTACAGCTCTATGAACACTGTACTCGCAACTCGATGTACATGATAAACTTCTTTACATTTTACTCACAAATCCACGTGCAAGACGAACAGTTTACTCGCAGTTCCATGTACAGGGGGAACACTTTACATTTCACTCACAACTCCTTGCATGTAAAGGCCATTAAACTCACAACTTCATGTAAACGAGGATCATTTTACATAACGTACATAACGAACCTTCACTTAATTCGCTCGTGTAAACTAGTTCACTCACAGATCAATGTACATGGGGAACAGTTTACTCACAGCGTTGATTCAACGACGAACATTGTACTCAATGTATTTTTGCTCGAAGAACAGTTTACTTCCGACTATATGTACACGGGGCAGTCTCAGTTCACAGCTCGACCTTAATGAGGAGGGCACCTATTTGTACCGTATACACAAGGAACACATCGTCCATAGTGACATATTCACGAGGGAACGCATCAAGTATCGTCATAAGAAATTCCTGTACGAAATATGCATCGCGTTGTGACAAACTGTTACCAAACATTGAAAACATTTGATATCCCAACAATAATGATGTATTTTACATTTATATTTATCAGATGACAACCGCGGTTAATACTAGCATAGCTTATCTACAAGACAAAAGTGGACATATGGAGAAAGGTTTGTGTTTAAATAAATAGCACAACAGTCGTTGCTAAGAATGTCACTTTACTGCAAAAGTATATTGTAAGCTAATTGTATTAATTGTCAACTAATCTAGACAAATGTGAACATGCGGTTCTTTTTATGGAAATATGGGGATAAAATGTGTTTGGACAACGAATTCGGCATTCACAAAAATCTGTTAAGGAACCAGATGCATTGTCAGTGGAAGATCTAGGTAATTGGAACTCTTCACAGAAATGTAACCTAAGCACACAATCATACCAAATCTCACCACATCCCCTTCATGCCATTTCAGCTTTTGGCTGTCCTCTTCACCTTGTGGGAGAACTGGATTCGACCCAGTGTTATCCTGTTTCATGTAAGAGTGTTACTACATTTCCACCCCACATTGAATATTTCAGATAATTAATTATGTTTATATAACCTGATTTAACATATCCACTTTGAAAATAGAAATTATCTGTTCATTGAGACTAATTTTGAACTAAATTGTATTCGGAACTTCTATTGATATTTCCGCATGATGTCATTGATGTTATTCCGGCCTTCTTGCCACCAATAAGCCCAAAAGACAGATTGTCAACAAAGTTAATTATCCGTTTATCGACTATAATGAAAATTGTGATAATACCTGATATAATGTAATTGTTAAAAAAACTAAATTCCAATACGATAAGAAATCTTTACTAAAAGCAGGGTGAATCATGAATCACTATCAAATTTTGCGAAAGGCCAGCATATCCTTCCCCACCAGTGGCACCCGTCACGAACACATGCAAAGGAAAACTCATTCGTAATTATGTCTGAACTGTACTACCACAGAGTCATAAATTAAATGAAGCATTGGAAGCTAATAAGTATATTCAGTACGAGTAAAATTACAATACATGTTTTGTTTTAGGTCCTGTACTTTTTCTTGACGCCCAGCGGGTCAACCAAAGAAGATGGCATGTCACTTCAGATGGAAAGTTAGTGAATGCACCACCATCAACACAACGCAAGGATAACACTGGATTAGAGGAATATAGTGGCACTTGCAGCCATATTCCTATTCTGCTTCCTCCAGATCTCCTCACAACAACATCTGTCGGCATCCCTCATACAGCCCAATACTGGGAGACACATTCTCATGTGGGAATTGTCGGGGGACAGGGGTGGCCGCCGATCCTGGAGATGGGTCTCTCCGAGGCAGGACTGGTTGACAGCAGGACCTGGGTTTGTAATCAGCCTCGCTCCTGGTGCGTCGCTGTATGGAGATGTAAGAAACATGGCGGAAAGATATGTACCCGAACGTATGAGGAAGGGGATTTTGGAGGCTGTATGAGTGACACAATGTCTGACATTCCCGGCACACAGGCCACCCTCCACTATGGCCTTGTGCTTGATGTGGGGAGAGGGAGACTCGCATTCATTGATTTGAACAGGAAGGTTGTTTTGGCAAAGTATGATGTTCAATTTCGGGACACCCTTTACCCCATGTTTGGTGTCTGGCGAAGGTCTGAAGATTTTTCAGTAGCGCTGAAACTGATCAGCGGGGTTGACGTCACAATGTCCGACACAAAGAGGACTCTTATTTGCCAAAGTCTCCAGTAGCAGAGAAACCTTGCTTAAATCACTCAAACAACTGATTGTTTACTCTATGCAATCTTATCAAAATATTTTAAACGGCAACGCCAGAGAATGACCAGTCTTGATTATCCACCGAAACACACTCCATTGTGCGTGAAAGGGAATATTGCGGTGATAACTTATAGCAATGGATCACTGAAAATCAGTGATGACACAAGGTGTTAACGAAAAGGGTGAGCATGTCCTACTGGCAGCACCCGTCACTCACTCCAAAAACATTGTCCAGGAACAGTCTTGCAATTGTTCAGTATAACAGTAGAACGATTACATATATGCAATCCTGTCTTGTGAGTGTAATTTTACGTCCAAGTTGTCAGATTGTGTTTACTGTAATGTAGGCAAATATGAATCTGAAGGACAGACAGACAGTCTGTCACAGACAGACAGACAGTTGATGTTCCCAGGGACATCATAACCCGAAAGAAGCTACAACATATAGGTGTCCGAGAAAAATCATAATGCAACAAATGTCTGCTTTGACTGAGCGTTACTTATCTTTACCATTGTATACGTTCAATTATTGTTTTTGTGAGGAAATCTACTTTCCGGTTCAAGTAGAAATATTCTTCCAAAGTATGTGATATTTAATGTTAATACGCACAATGATGTATTTTCATTTAAATATCACTTATTCATTATATTCATCAATTTTGGTATCTGTCGTACAGCCCTTGCTGTAAAAGTTTGAGTGTTGTACTTTTATTTCGTTGGCATTTATGATAGATGAAACATGTTGACGAAAAATCTTAATTTTAAGCCATTGTGTTTAATCACTTAGATGAGTTCATACCAATGTGTTATTGTCACATGAATACATTTGTTAAAATGATGCTTCATTTAAGTTAAAATTTATTTCATTGTACTAAAGTTTGCGAAATGATAGTGTTATGTGTGAATGAGTATGTGTGTAGGGATTCATTTGAAGATTCATTTACGTTCAAATTTCTTCTGTTAAGGTCCATCGCATCTTCAGCAGCTTTAACCAAAGGTCTAATAATGTCTTGGTAACATTGTCTCTTGAAAATGAATTGTTGTGTATTGCTTCGTTCAAGATATTCCATTAAAAGAGTCTGTAATTGCCTCGAATCGTTCTTTTCAGTTTACTTGGAGAGTGTATTGATTCGAGAATACCATTATTCTGAAGTGATTTCAGTTCAAAACCTAGTGACAAAAGCTTTTGCTCGTCACACATCTATAATCTGTGACGCCCATTCTTGGGCTAATATAACTTTCTATTAGACGATTCTCATTATCTACCTGTTCATGGTCAGACTCTACTTTCACTTAACGTTAACCCACACCAACCTTGGAGCCACAAACTTTAAACTTTAAAATAAGTATATATATATATATATATATATATATATATATATATATATATATATATATATATATATATATATATATAATTAAATAAGTGGAGTAAGATTGAACACAGTTTTAATTGGCTAGCGCATTCAACTCGTACCACGTACGAGTCTCATCAGGCCATAACTGAACATATAATCTTTTTGTGTGTACACAACTGTCACCAGTCGTTATAATCAATCGATGAAGCAGGCGACTATGGTTGTCGTAAGAGGCGACTGACGGCTCGCTGACTTGGTTGATTCATGTCATCAATCTCGCCGTCATATAGCTGGGATATTGCTGAGTGCGCTGTTAAACAACAAACAAACAATAGATGAAGAATTACAAATATGTGTGGGAAGGGCGGATTCGAGGAATTCTAAAATCCAGTTTTTGTAACTTTCGATTTCATTCATCGTTCTTACTTGGGAAAAATTGTACATTTGTGACAACAGATAGATTAGAAAGCACGTACATTTCCCAAACGTTTGTATCACACTGATTTTGTTCCAACACGCCATTATATCTTAATTGAACGTAGCTGCTGATAGCGGAGTTAAATTTAAACTCACCCACTCCCTAATACCTTATGTCTGTACTGACCTTGTTATGACGGTTACACACATCCATGTAATGTTTACATGTAAAGGTGTGTGTGGTCCAGTGACAGCGGTTGTGTGTAAAGTACAAAGGCGGGGTTGGTCCAGATTGTTTGTCTGGTTTATGAAAGGGAAGTAACTAAGTTAAGATGTGATAGTTGATATGTGCTCGAGCAATATATCGAACAGTCCTCAAATACGGGCTGTATCCTGCTATCTGTATGTAACAATATCCCCGTGATGACGCTCTGCACCACGAGCATGCCATGATTAGCATGATATGACGTTGAAAAAGCTGACTTTGTTACCGCAGTTAGGTTATAGTTGATGTTGTTGTTGTTGATGTAGTTGTAGTTGATGTAGTTGATGACAGATTTGGAAAATGACCATCCATATAACAGACGCCGTCTGTCAAACAGATGAAATGAATATGAATACACGTGACATGTTTCTATCACTGTCCCGTTCCACGAAACAACCTCAGGGCAGAGGTGATCGTAAGTTCTGAGATTTCAACCTTAACTGAGGTCAACGTGTTTATTTTATATGTTAAGTATTTATTATCGAGAAATACGTAATTCTAATCAAATAATACAATTTTACCAGTAAACTATTTGAGCAATTTCATTTAATTTTATTAATACTATATAGACATGGAGGATATGTGTATTGTCTCGTCATTTTGGGGGCGGTCGGGTAGCCTAGTGGTTAAAGCGTTCGCTCGTCACGCCGAAGACCCGGGTTCGATTCCCGACATGGGTACAATGTGTGAAGCCCATTTCTGGTGTCCCCCGCCGTGATATTGCTGGAATATTGCTAAAAGCGGCGTAAAACCATACTCACTCACTCACTCACTCTCGTCATTTTGCCACATTGAATGGACTGACAAAGTTGATCATTTTATAACTTCCGGGATACCAAGTTCTACACTTGTGTATGGAATATCAGTATTCATTTAAATTTATTTGTGTGATGTACTTGGTCATGTTGTATGGTATCAGCTAATGTGTACGTTCTAACACATGAGCAGGTGTGTTGAATAGTCTAAATTGTCACCAACAGAAGAGGGCAACAACAGAAGAGGGCAACGAAATGGTATAAGTATCATGTACATATGAAGACAAGACCCATCACTATTTGTATACATGGTTCACAGTGGGATATGTTCAGATGAACGTTCGTGATTCTCGAGCTAAAACAGATTACACAAAATAGATATCATAACCCTAAACATAATGAAACAGTTGCACCGAAAAGTCGACTGTTTGACTAGCCTCAGGTGCTCATGCTGTCACTTTTGTTTAAGCGTAATTAACACTTACGCAATACCTGAAAATCTTAAAACATTCTGAAAATCAGCGTCTGCAGGACGTTGATATGCAGCAAACAGGAATGGCGCAAAAACAAAGTTGCCAATCATGTTAATGTTCATCAAACACAACATCGTCTCCTTAGAGACCTTATGTACAGCAGGACGAAATTCTTGACTTGCCTCGGGGCGGTTGTCAACGTGAGAGGTCACGTCAACAAGACAACCTTATATAGTTGGTTCATCTTCGGAATAGATACCAAACTGCCACCTTCACAGCTCGGACAATTCAAGGTTGAGACAAATTAATGGCAGAAACACACGCAACCGGTTGAGGGAGCACAACATTCGCCCACGGCACCCATCGATGCCCAATGTTGACTTTACATCACCGTTAGATTTTGGTTTTGGTTTGGTTTGGTTTGGTTTGCCGCACTCAACAATGTACCAGCTGTATGACTGCGGTCTGTAAATAATCGAGTCTGGACCAGACAATACAGTAATTGACATCATGAGCATCGACCCACGCAATTGGGATACGATGACATGCATCAACCAAGTCAGCCAGTCTGACCAACCGATCCCGTTATTCGCCTCTTACGACAAGCATAGTCGCCTTTTACAGCAAGAATGGGTTGCTATTCTACCCCTGATCTTCACGGGTCTCAGAGGTTCGGAAGACAAGACTGGGACAGTATACAGTGCACATATGAGTCTAGGTTTTGTCTAGTTAGCTCCGATGGTCTAGGGGCGGTCGGGTAGCCTAGTGGTTAAAGCGTTCGCTCGTCACGCCGAAGACCCGGGTTCGATTCCCGCCATGGTTACAATGTGTGAAGCCCATTTCTGGTGTCCCCTGCCGTGATATTGCTGGAATGTTGCTAAAAGCGGCGTAAAACCATACTCACTCACTCTGATGGTCTAAAAGCTTCCAGGATAATGTTTTGGGGTGGAAGTGTATTGGTTTGGGGAATACATCATTGTCAAAGGCAGTTTGAATGATCTGTCCAGACTCGAATACTTACAGGCCGTCCTGATATATATATATTTGACTAAGAACAGAAAAACACGTACTAAAGAAGACATGTGTTATCTTGTTTTACTATCGATTGAAAAATACAAATGGTGTTCGAAACTTGTGAATGTGTACAATTGCGAAATACCCCAACACCCCGTACCACTGACACCAAATCCTCTCAAGACAACCCAGAAACCAACACCCCCTCAAAAGAGTATTACTGTCTGTGCTGTTGTTATCACGAGATCTCTAAAGGATACGACGGATGAATATGTATGGTATTGTCTACAACGCCTGGGTAACCAGACTCACAAAGCGGAGCAACCGTTGTATCTATAATGATTACATCACACGTCTGTGTGGTCTGCGTTACGTTTACTGTGTGAATGGGAGACTGTGTCTTGTGTATTGAGGTAACTACATCTGCTAGTTTAAAGTATAACACACAAGGGGGTTCAACAGTTCCGATGTCCGGATGCACAATTACGTTATTTAGAAGAGTCTGGGTCTTCTTTTTTCGGATGTTGATCACTGATTTATGCATTTTTCTGACAGATCGTGTAAAACATGTATGGTTTTACTTAATTAATCATATGTTTTATTTCCTTCTCACCACCAACTATCATAAAATACAACGATGCTGATATCTGCAGTGTTTTGAACAATATTTTTGTAACAAATGTGTATCATGGTATGTCAGTTTGATGCGGTTGGAGAGCCTGATATGCGGAATCTTTTAGATGTTTATGACTTACGTAAAATCCACAAGCATTGATTGAAACCCACGAGCACGGGTATGGTGCTGAGAAACCTAGAAACATAATCTGGGTTTGAAACCCACAAGGAGGGCACCGGTAGGCCTATGATTGTGGGTTCGAATCCCGGTTCGCCCCGATTATGTTTCTAGGTTTGTCAGCACCATACCCGTGCTCGTGGGTTTCACCGAAGTGGTAAACGTCTGAGGCCTGCATCACTTCGGGGTTTCCTCCCACATTAAGCCGTGATATAACTGGAATACATTAAACCCAACTCAGTCACTCACTGAAACCCAGAGCCACAGGTTACCGTCACGCCCTAGGAAGGCAGCTCGGCACAGTAAAATGGTTTGCCTTAAAAAGGCAAGGCCACTCGAAATCGGACACACCCCGACCCTCGACACACGTATGACCTGCACCTTGGATCAAGAGAGAGTAACCTGAATCCCGACACGTCGTGACACCTTACAGACCAAACCACGAAAATATCCGGAAACATCTGGGTTTACAGTTGTACATTTATGAGATTAAAAATGATAAAATGTGTAACTGAATACATTATTTCGACCAGTCCTAAAAGTCACACTACCCATCCTGTCATTCTACCCATGTGATAACTGAATGGAGAGGAAGTTCCTGATGAGAACACGTACTTCCTCAATGGAACTTATTAGACGGTGACGCAAATACGAGTTGAACCGCCATGTATACAACACAGGAGGATATGTTCCCAGTTTCTATAAATAAGGTTCTCTGCGCCGTGATAAACAACTTCCTGTATCGCACCTAACATTAGGTTTCACGGAGGAAGATGTGTGGGTTGCACAGGAACTGTCAATTTATCATAGCGGATTGAACAATGTAGCCCTGAGTGCATATATAGCGAGAAATATGTCCACTGGAAGCATTATATCAACTTCTTTTAAATACCACCTAGCTCGTGAGTCGCAGACAACAGGTCATAACCCTAATCTCCCACAACCAGGTAACACTACCTGGCGGACAATATACTCGCAGGCCTCTGAGTGAGTAGATTATAGTTGTTCCTATAACTCCCAGAGCTGTGTAAATGTGTAAACTATGTAGGCGTAGATAACTGTTGCCTTATGTATATTATTTACCTGAGTTCGGGAAGGCACGCTTTGTGTTGTTGCTATACTTCAGGCTGTTAAACGTCTTCCTCTTAAATGTGCGTGTGAATATAATATGTTCCCGGTCCAAAGTTCCTCGTGGACAGCTCATGTCCATTCAGTGTTATATAACTTATAATCGTTATAACCGAGTGAGAATAGGCCAAGTACCCCGTGCTTGTATTGAGAGTCGGTTAATTGTATCGTAGGCCAGGCTGGCAGAGTGTGAACCGGTTGCTATATGTCACCGTGACCCCTCCAGCTGGCTTGACTGGCTTCTTGTTATTTATTTAGGAGGTCGCCGTGACACATCTAGACTATTGTCACGTTACATATCCTTCACAACAAGGGTTTACTCAAACATCTACTGTAGCCAGTTATACATTTATAATATTCTGTATCAGAGACAGCATATTTGCCTCCGGTGTGACCTCATCAATGCTCCCTCTATTATGAATATGACGGAACAACGACCACTCACTACACACAGGTTATGAAGTGAAGTGTCTGATTCTTAATCCGCGTTTGTCAATACTGTTTCGTGGCTTATGAGGGCGTAAATCAATGCCTATTTATGTTGCGGAACGTTTAAATGGGAAATAAAGACAGCGTGTGAACTATTTCCATAATTTCTTTTTGCTCTTAGTAAGCGGGGCTGATGTATACCGTGTTTTTCCTTTTACAAAATGAAAGTACATTTATGTGTTGGTTCTTAAAATATATACATGCATGGATGCATATATATGTTAATATGTTTTTCTGTTTGTAGCGGTGTTCAGCAACTTTTTAAAAATGTTTCAGGCTAAGTGAATATTTACTTGAGTTGTCTGCATATGTATTCACTGTGTTTATTGTCCCGGACGTATGTGTGTATGTATATAATTATTTTTATATATTAATGTGAAGTTTACACGATATATGGCTTTCCCCTTGGACGTGATGTCGATCACATGACCGCGAAACTGAAGTTCATAAGTGTATATTTTGACTGTATTCTTGAAATGACGTAAACACTGACGGACTACTTCCACATTCCTGGGGAAACTCTGGTAATTCCCTAGCACAAATACAAACAGATTCGTTGTTTCTCATCATTTAGACACTTTAATCGTGAAGTTATTGGGATGGGATGTGTCAGAGAGTTTGACTGGATTGCCAGTTCAAGGAGGTCCTCGCTATAACCCATCATAGAGAACAAAACGAAGAAATGCACATCCAGACTGTCGTAGTATCGACTCGATCCGTGTCTAGACCATAGTGACAGTCTACAGCATTCTATGAATTTACCTTAGGATGTATTTGACACATCTTTACAATCACCTTTCAATGGTCGGCCAATTGATCAGTGATGAGTAACAATTGTAGTAGCTACAGGTTCATTGACAACTTCTTGTCTTGTACCAGATTACGACACGCTGTCGTTGTGGCTGACCTACTGGGGTACTCCTTAACCGACCTTTCTAATGAGGATATTATTTGAATACATTTGTTGTAAAGAAACTGCAGAAGGTTGTTCCTGGAGAGCAAGTTGAGCGTACATAAGCTCATATCAGCTCTCGTTTTGAAGAACTATTTCATTCCACGATACAGCTGGTTGTTGTATGGCTGTCAGTGTAAACACGAAGTCACACTGCTAAAAATAACTGTGTATTGATCTAGGTAAAAGTCCTTATAAAAATAGGGATATAAGAAATCATAAGAATTCGCCATAGGAAGTTTGACAGTGAGTGAGTGAGCATTGTTGCACGTCCAAATATGGGCTGCACACATTGTACCCAGGTGAGAAACCGATGTCGTTGAGACGAACGAACGCTTTAACCACCAGGCCACCCCCCTGCCCCTGACGTTATAGCAGATATGGGTCAAGCATCACCCTACCTTCCCAATCAGGAAGTGTTCCCTGTAACAAGGCAAGGACCCTTATTACAGAAGCCTCCGACATACCAGGAAGTGTTGTTTATCTGCTAGTATTTTACCTTTCCCCGCATATATCCTCGGTGAGTAGACCTTAGACCTTATATGTAGTCAGGTACCAATACTCGATTAAAACTACATTTATAACCACATTTTACGCTTAACGTTCACTCGTTTATATATTAAGCAAAGAACATTTGGGTTTCTTAAAGACAGCCTTTGCACTTCATATGTACGCAATAATATTAGAAATCGGCCTCAACGTTGTTCTCTATCTTAAATAAACCCATAAAGTATGTACATTTAAGTGAGGTGAAGTGGAATGGGGTTTAACGTCGCGTCCAAGATTGTTGCACTTATATAGCGACGTGCATGCACATGTGTGTGGCCGCTTGTAATAGTACGGACTAATGCCGATTTATAGCGCTAGCCCACTGAAATACCATGCCGCAGTTTAACATGAATACCTCACTCAGACACGGTATACCGACTCCGAGTTGACCAGTCCTTATTTTAGCCCTTTCATAAAACAAAACAACAAGTCTTTTAACGTATTTAGTATGACGTGGTCGGAGATCGAACCCCGGACCTTTCGCTCTCCGGGTTAACACTTTACCACAAGATCACGGATGCGGTGGTATATTCGTATCACACAAACATACACAAACAAAAATGACTAATAAGTGGGTGACATCCCCGACACTGCATACAAAACAGGAGCGAAAGGGATGTTTACCGATCAGATACCTCGTCACCTGCATAAATAATTTAAAACTTATCAGGATGATCTTATTTTCAGAACTGCGAAGTAACTAAACAGATATGGTATTGCTGCGGGTATGTACTTTACTCATGTTTGTATTTATATAACTATATCTATGCATAAGAATATAATGTACCAGAATCGTTGATTTACGGGGTTTCACTTTAAATCATGCCTTTGAATTAATGTGTTACAATTTATCCCGTGTGAGTAAAACATATGTAACAAGGGCAAGAGTGAGCGTGGCTCACTAATACCCCCGACCCGCCTAGTGTGTCAGTAGTTTCAAATTAAATAATGGATAGGGTTAGGGTTTGAAAAATTCATAAAAATATGGAAAATTTATAAAAACATTTTCTTTCTTTTGACTGCACCCTTCCATATGACACAGAGTATATGAACTAAGTTTGAGATGAATGCACTGAATAGTTTAAGAGAAATCGCGCGGACAAAGTTTTCGGACGGACGGACGGACGGACGGACGGAACCTTGGTATAACCTAAAAGGTCAGGGCTATAATAACTTTGACAACTTTGTTTTCAGGGAAAGGTACATAAGCAGGAGGAGAGAAGGTTTCATTTGAACACCAAGGATTTCCTTCGTCCGCATTTGAAACAAATAGGAAACAGCATTGCGGATATCAGAAGTTATTTTGAAAAGAAAGGTACATGTACGGCTTCCTTCAACGGAAGTTTTCCAGACGCCAAACGATGTATACAAACACTAAAATCGGTTTCAATATCGTTGCTAGAAGTAAACAGAAGTCATGACCAATGGTTTATTGCGCCATGTGTTGTTTCTGTCATTTGACTGTCAATCTCTTTATTGCAGGGGTCATCAACATGATGCCAGACAGACTGACCAAGGACCTGGTGGACATTAACGCTGAGTTGTTGTCGCTCTTGGAGGAAGATTGTATTTTATCATGTGACAATATTGTGAAAGGAGCATTTTCTGAAACATGCACAGACACTTCGTGCCTTGTAATGTTGGCAGAATCATTTGCATCAACATTCACTCCATGTGTGTTGCCACAAACATTTAAACACAAATGTGACATATTCCTAGCAATGCCGCAGCAACCCCTTATTGTGCTTACATTGACAGATGATTCGCTTGAGACAGAACAAGCTAGAGAATATAATGCTTCTGTGGCCAGAGAAATAACATCAAATCTGCGAGTGTTCACCAACGAGAGCGTTAATATTGTGCATGGGGTTATCTGCAGACACGATTTGAAAGACAGTCGCATGTTCCACACAAAGTTACTTATCCATGCAGCGTTATCGTCGCTATTCCTTCCAAAGTCTTCTTTCTCGATGAGTAGAACAAAATACAACCACGTTGTGACTGCCTTCTGGGCAGCAATGGCACAGACCAAGTCAGTACCAACAGAGACAGGTGAAACTATCAGGTTTCTCACCAAGGACCAGTGTATCGTGCTGGTGGAGAACATGAACAGTAAGCATGTTCAGGTGAGATGTGAGCCCAGCAGTGGGGCCACGATACTGATGCTGGAGGTGGCCAGGAGGCTGAGCAGACTTGGGGACACACTCCTGGTGTGCAGGTCACGGGAGGAGAGAGATCGGCTAAGGTGAATATAAATTTCTGGTAGTTACAAAACTGTAGTTTGTGATTCGACACATACTTTTGACACGATGTCATCATAGTATAATGAACAGGCTCGGGGACATTCTCCTGTGTGTAGGTCACGGGAGGAGAGCGATCGGCTAAGGTGAATATAAATATCTGGTAGTTACAAAACTGTAGTCTGAGAAATGGATTCGACACATACTTTTGACATGATGTCATCACAGTATAATGATTACTGTTGGCATTGGCTGGTATTTTCAGGTCCGTTTACCCATCAACAATATCGATGTACGATGTTGGAAACTGGGATCTGTCCAAGTTTGAGAATGTTGTCAACGACACTCACGAAATACAGTGTGAACCACGAGGTCGTCACTGGCAGTTTCTAACAGGTGAGTTTGAGTCTTTTCATCTGATAATTATTACGTCTGTTCGTTTGTTATTAGCGCCGCACCCACCAATATCCCAGCTGTATGACGGCGGTCTATAAACAATCGAGTCTGGACCAGACAATAACGTGATTGATATCATGACGGTCTACGAAATTTGGGATACGATGACATGCATAAACCAAGTCAACGGGCCTGAACACCTGATCCCACATAACAAGCATGGGTTGCCGATGACCAGTTCTAACTCTGATCCTCACGGGATAATTTTTAAGTTATGTCACCTGAGCATTTAACTAAATGTTTTGTTAAGAGTCTTTCTTTAATGATATTAGAATCATTACATACAATCCTAGTATACCTCATTGTCAGATTTTGCCAGGCAGTTGTGTTCAATTGAGATTTATTACCCATGTTATTTACAGTGGTATTTTAATTGATAGTTTATTATCTTTGTAACGCCAAGGGGGCACGGGTGGCCCAGTCGCTTAAGGCGCCGCGATTCACTGTGCAGAGTTGCGTCCCTTGGGCACGCCAGAAACCTATGATTGTGGGTTCGAATCCCGGTTCGCTCAAATTATGTTTCTAGGTTTGTCAGCACCATATTCGTGCTCGTGGGTTTCACCGAAGTGGTAAACGTCTGAGACCTGCATCACTTCGGGCTTTCCTCCCAATTTAAGCTGACACGCCGCGATATAACTGGAATACTGTTAAAAGTGGCGTTAAACCAAACTCACTCACTCACAGTAACGCCGAATACAAGATATTACAAAAATGTTTTAATTGTCATGAATTAGTATTGTTACTCTCTTGTGATAGATGCTTAACGTTTAAACGATCTTAGACGATCTTCTAGCCTGAGTCCTTTTTTTCTGGTCGAAGATGAAGAAGCATCTAACTGAGTATGTCTATCACGTGAACGAACTGACACTGGGCACCCGTCATATCTGACGAGCACGTTGAAGTATGCCCCAAAGGTGCTGTGTTTAGTTACCAGTGTATACGTAAATGCTAAATACAAAGAGCAGCTGTAAAGATATGTGGTCTGGGTTGATATGAACAATCGCACGGACATGTCTTTATGATGATATTGACTGCATAACACATGAGTCGAATCTGTGCATATATGTTGTATTGTAATTGCAATGTCGATTTCCACATTAATTGAAAAGAACTGCATAAATTGAAACACATGAATCAATCGCGTTTACCAGCTCAGCACGGCCAGTCACCATCGGGGTTCGAAGAACATGTCGTGCCTTGCAACGGCAGACTGGGACGCCCCTGCTTCCAAACGTCCAATGGCGATATTTCGGAGCTAACAAATTGTAAGTACAGATTTTCTTTATGTGAGAAACAAAATCTGATATAAGATTTTGTTGTATTGTCTGTAACTATTTATGGCAACTGTACTTTAATTCTACCTTTGTAGAAATTATCTAACTTTAATAACGAAAATGGGTCAGGAGGGCAGCCGATTGGTTAAAGCGTTCGCTCGTCACGCCAAAGGCACCAATTCGATTCCCGACATTGGTACAATATACGAAGCCCATTTCTTGTGTCCACCGCCGTGCCATTGCTGGAATATTACCAAAACCGATAAAAATCAATAAAGAAATTCTGATTCTCTGCAGAGTTGCGTCCCTTTGTCGTGATCCTTTCCTCGATTTCAGTCTTGACCTGTGTGCACTAGGTGAGGTGAAATGGGGTTTAACGTCGCGTCCAAGATTATTGCACTTATATAGCGACGTGCATGTACGTGTGTGTGTTTGTGTGGCTGCTTGGACTGATGCCGATTTATAGTGCTAGCTCACTGAGGTACCATGATGCAGTTTAACATGAATACCCCACTCAGACACAGTATACTGACACCGAGCCGACCAGTCCTTGTTTTAGCCCCTTAATGCCGAGCGCCAGACAGGGTAACAACAAGTACCATCTTTTAACGTCTTTTGGTATGACGCAACCGGGGATTGAACCCCGAACCTTCCGCTCTCCGGGCGGACGCTCTACCACGAGACCACGGAGGCGGTCCTGTGTGCACTATATATACCTGTGCTCATCATTTCACCCAAACAACAAACACCTAAGACAGGTTTTAATTCATCGTATCACAGTTTGACACGTTACCATTTAATCGAAGCAAAGCACAACTCATGCACTAAATAAATGTTAGTATTTAATAACATTTGTGTAACTGTTTCAGGGCAAGGAAATACAGCTTTACAACCGATGTTGGCTTCTCACTGTTTATCACAACAGTTGTAGACAGGACGTTCTGTGTCGACACCACGTTATTTACCTCGTTATTGTATTCGTCATCTGCAAAGAGAATGTATTTCAAGTTTTGTGGACAACAGAGAGCTTGCTATTTGACAATTTCATATTACGACTAAGACGTCATATTTGTTGCGTCACAATGTGCTATATGACGTCATAAAAGTGACGCACTGTGTAGAACGAAACCTTTGCAAGGCTTGCTCAGTTTGCATTGGGGGTGCAGGGGTGGTCGGGTAGCCTAGTGGTTAAAGCGTTCGCTCGTCACGCCGAAGGGTACCCGACATGGGTACAATGTGTGAAGCCCATTTCTGGTGTCCCCCGCCTTGATAGTGCTGGCATATTGCTAAAGGCGGCGTAAAACCATACTCATTCACTCACTCACTCATTGGGAGGCCCACCTCAATTAGCTGACGAAGTTGCCGTTCTTTCAGTGCCTGTTATAAGTTTATGAGAAGTATTACGGTGAAAACAAACTGCTTGAGCATATAGAGCGCCTTATCTTGTTTTATGGCTGTTGTCGGTGATTCCGTAAATTCTGATTGACAACACACTCAGAACACTGAACTCAGCCCATACAGCTTCATTCAATAAGAATGACACCAAAGAGTTCGTGTTTTATTTAGCCACGGTAGAATGGAGACAGACATACTGTGTTTTTTAATGTAGAGCGCTGCGCGGTCGGATCCAAATTCTTTTCAGCGCGGTTAATTCAACAGGTAAGCTAGCTCTACATTGAAAACAATAATGACTTGATCATTACTCCGGTACATGCAGGCTAATTGACTGAAGCGACAGTAAAATATCCGAAAAATAGCCGTTTACAGTGGCTTCAAGTCTGATCCAAACATAATGGACGACCAAAAAATGGCAGAAATCTGTACCGTTATGAGTGCGCATGCGTAACGCCCTTATTACCGATGACGTGTTATTTTTAACGCTCTTTTGGAATATGGAATATCAAATTTCCTGAGAATGTACTCTTATGTGCACGTATAAGACTGGTTCGTAAGAACAGACAGTGCTAAGTGTTGTCGGAGATTTTTTTTATGCCTAATAGACTAGCAAAGTACTATGCGACGAAGTATATTTGGTAGATTCAGGTAAATTGTGACCAAACAAACAGTTACTACTATCTTATATCTGAACGACACAATGTTTGTTTGTTAGTTTGCAATATTCCAGCTATATAAGGGCGGTCTGCAAATGATCGAGTTTGGACCAGAGAATCCAGTGATGGACACCATGAGCATCGATCTGTGCAATTGGGATACGATGTCATGCATCAAACAAGTCAGCGAGCCTGACCACCCGACCCACAATCGCCTTTTGGACAAGCATAGATGCCTCTTACGACAATCATGGGTTGCTGAAGACATTTTCTACCCCGGATTGTCACGGTTCCTTGCCATTGTAACAGAGATGGGACATGTAACAGAGATAGGACATGTTACAGAGATGGGACATGTTACAGAGATGGGACATGTAACAGAGATGGGACATGTAACAGAGATGGGACAAGTAACAGAGATGTGACATGTGACAGGGACGGAACATGTTACAGAGATAGGACATGTAACAGAGATAGGACATGTAACAGAGATGGGACATGTAACAGAGATAGGACATGTGACAGGGACGGGACATGTAACAGAGATAGGACATGTAACAGAGATGGGACATGTAACAGAGATAGGACATGTTACAGAGATGGGACATGTAACAGAGATAGGACATGTCACAGAGATGGGACATGTAACAGAGATGGGACATGTAACAGAGATGGGACATGTCACAGAGATAGGACATGTAACAGAGATAGGACATGTAACAGAGATAGGACATGTGACAGGGACGGGACATGTAACAGAGAAAGGACATGTAACAGAGATGGGACATGTAACAGAGATAGGACATGTAACAGAGATAGGACATGCAACAGAGATAGGACATGTGACAGGGACGGGACATGTAACAGAGGTGGGACATGTAACAGAGATGGGACATGTTACAGAGATGGGACATGTCACAGGGATGGGACATGTAACAGAGATAGGACATGTGACAGGGACGGGACATATTACAGAGATGGGACATGTAACAGAGATGGGACATGTAACAGAGATGGGACATGTAACAGAGATGGGACATGTAACAGAGACAGGACATATTACAGAGATGGGACATGTAACAGAGATAGGACATGTTACAGAGATGGGACATGTAACAGAGATGGGACATGTCACAGGGATGGGACATGTAACAGAGATGGGACATGTAACAGAGATGGGACATGTAACAGAGACAGGACATATTACAGAGATGGGACATGTAACAGAGATAGGACATGTTACAGAGATGGGACATGTAACAGATATAGGACATGTCACAGAGATGGGACATGTAACAGAGATAGGACATGTAACAGAGATGGGACATGTCACAGAGATAGGACATGTAACAGAGATAGGACATGTAACAGAGATAGGACATGTGACAGGGACGGGACATGTAACAGAGAAAGGACATGTAACAGAGATGGGACATGTAACAGAGATAGGACATGTAACAGAGATAGGACATGCAACAGAGATAGGACATGTGACAGGGACGGGACATGTAACAGAGGTGGGACATGTAACAGAGATGGGACATGTAACAGAGATGGGACATGTAACAGAGATGGGACATGTAACAGAGATAGGACATATTACAGAGATGGGACATGTAACAGACATGGGACATGTTACAGAGATGGGACATGTAACAGAGATAGGACATGTAACAGAGATGGGACATGTAACAGAGATAGGACATGTAACAGAGATGGGACATGTCACAGAGATGGGACATGTAACAGAGATGGGACATGTAACAGAGATTGGACATGTAACAGAGGTGGGAGATGCCACAGAGATTGGACATGTAACAGAGATGGGACATGTAACAGAGATGGGACATGTCACAGAGATGGGACATGTAACAGAGATGGGACATGTAACAGAGATAGGACATGTAACAGAGATGGGACATGTAACAGAGATAGGACATGTCACAGAGATGGGACATGTCACAGAGATGGGACATGTAACAGAGATAGGACATTCAACAGAGATGGGACATGTAACAGAGATAGGACATGCAACAGAGATAGGACATGTAACAGAGATGGGACATGTAACAGAGATGGGACATGTTACAGAGATGGGACATGTAACAGAGATGGGACATGTTACAGAGATGGGACATGTAACAGAGATAGGACATGTTACAGAGATGGGACATGTAACAGAGATGGGACATGTGACAGAGAAGATTCCTTTTATGTAATATTTTCTTCAACTGTTGATGTGACCTTATCGCGTCATCCCATTGGGCAGCAGGGAGGGGAGTGAGTGAGTATGGTTTTACGACGCTTTCAGCAATATGCAAGCAATATCACGGCTGGGGACACCAGGAATGGACTTCACACATTGTACCCATGTTGAGAAAAAAACATGGTCTTCGACGTGGCGAGAAAATATCACTTGGCTGCCACACCACCCCTCCGGCAGCAGGGATCGTGAACCAGGTCTGACATAGTTGTACTGTATGGGGATCGGTCGTTCTGTTAATAAAAGATGCTATCTGTTAAATGTCATACAGTTGTTATTGGACATGTTCCTAGATATGGTTCTCAGAGTGTTTCATATTAAGGTATGTGCCAAACCAAAAGATGGCACTTGTTGGTGCCATGCCTGACGTTTGATATTAAGGGATTAAAACAGTGACTGGTCGTCTCGGAGTCAGTCACATACACGTGCATGCACGTCCCTATACAAGTAACTGTTTTATTGGCGTTCTAGAAGCTGGAAGTAAGAAAACATACAACTTTATGGATAACAACTTCTGGTTTGACAAATGTTATATTTGGGATAACACTTTCTTAGTTAAGTACAGAATCCCAAAATGGTTACCCAAAAAGTACTAGCGTCTGTACTTTAACTAAGAAAGTGTTATCCCAAATATCACATTTGTTACTTTTGACCACTTTCTAAATGGCATTGAGCGTTATAGCTTTCGGCCATGGGATCCGTGTCAATTTACACTTGTCATTAACACTTGAAATTGAAAGGTCTACAAAAAGGTGTATGTCTTATAATAGAAAGTCCATGAGTACCGTAACTCGTTACGAAAAAATAGTTCTCTTGATAGTCCGTTCGCTCGTCACGCCGAAGACCCGGGTTCGATTCCCGACATGGGTACAATGTGTGAAGCCCATTTCTGGTGTCCCCCGCCGTGATATTGCTGGAATATTGCTAAAAGCGGCGTAAAAACATACTCACTCACTCACTCACTCTTGATAGTCAATACTGGACATTTCCCGACACCCCATTTTTAAAAAAAAAATTGCTAAAAGTTAATAAGAGGAGGTTTAGTGGGTGGCTTGAGGTACCTTTTCAGATAGTGTTAATCTGACATTACCTACTATTTATTGGAGGATACTGGAAATGAATATAGGCTGTCATGTTGTCTGACTACAGATAGGATTTGTTATCTGAACAATCACTGGCGGTTTCACATGAGGGGGTTGTGATTTATACAATTGCCCAAATGATCCTATTGAATGTTGGTGCTTGGTGATGCCAAGGGTAACATTTTATAATTAGAGGAAATTGGTAGTGAATACAGGATATCTTCAGGATATTTAGCCCTCCCTTGCTCCTTGTGTACTCCTGATGTAAAGTAGTCACGCAACCAGTTCATGCATTCCATGTTAAAAGAAGATAAGACTTGGGTAAAATCCGTCTTTATCTGTGACAACTTCCAATTGGTGACATTTTAGTGAACTTGGCAAGTGTTTTATATTTATATTATCATTATCTGTCAAACTGTACATAACTTTGTGTCTTAAATCATAAATATAGGGACAGTATACACCCATCAATATCTTAATGAATGAACTTAGATTATTGTATGGATTATATAAAAATCGCACTATGTATATGTTTCCATTTTGCGTGCATGAAAGGTGGGATTACGGGAGAAAGGAAATATTTCCCTTAAAGTTCCCAATAACTAGTGGAGGAAATTGGAAATGGCTGAACCTGTAGATAGCATCAAGTCTGTGACAAATGTGACAGATCTCACAGGGTAACATTCAACAAACAGGCTCTTTACCTTGTGATCATGTTACAAAATGACAGAAGAAATTAGAATCATAAAAAACTCTCTGTTCAGTAACTAACAGTTGCTATTTTAGTACAAGAGGAATCCCAAACCTTCTCTTTCTTCCTTATAATAATATTTTATGTCAAAGTGAAAAAACAAAAACATTAATGTGCAACAAAGCATTTTCCATGGACATGTTAATTTGCTTATTGATGATATACATGTGTTCAGATTAGTTAACACATTTACTATATCTACTATAATTTTCTTCTGTGTGTGAATGCGTGTAATACTTGCATATTGGCTCCCCAGTTCTCATACTATTTTAATTGAAAGCAAATTGTGTCTAATTTACCAAATCTCTCATGTCAGTGACTGATTGCAAACCTCATGTCTTAGTGTCACACAGCCAGTGTCCCAACTCTCGTGTATCTACTTGAATGTTTCGACCTCGCGATCTAGGGTTATATTATTTCAGGACATAGGCATCCTCTTATACACAACAGATGCGTTCTGGACATATCATCTGTCGGTTCAATAGGCCGTACGTATACGGCCTTACAACTGACTTTATTAGCTTTCGAATTGTACGTCTAGTACACACAAACAGGACCGTTTAGCCTATGTAAGGAATGTAGCAGTCAGTGGATCTTCCAGTTAGCTGACTTAATTACCGTTGGTAATATCCGTTTTCCTTTAGCAAATATGAGGATAGTAAGTAACAAAAATATAAGTTATACAACGAATATTTGCACAACTACCACAACATCATTCGACACTGGCACCAAATCAAACCCCGTGCTAGGCTGGACACAGTTATTTGCGCACCGATTACATAACCCCTACAGACAGGATGTGGTGGTGGTGGTGGTGGTGGTGGTTCAAAGTGAAACGGACAACACTGTCTGCTGGGTAGCGCCTTTGATCTCTGCACACACACTCAACCCCCAATACAATCCTGTTCTTTGCATATGATATTGCCGATGCCACGTTAACTTTCTGTCATTGGATTGTCTGGTTCAGATTCCAATATACACAGGCCGCCCTCATAAAGCGCGAATATTACTTAGTACGACGTAAAACTGCAGAGAAACAACAAAATACAAAGATGAGTTTACCTGGTTGATATCAACAGGGGATACCTAATGAATGAAATAGCATTGTATTAACTCTTTGTGCACTTGCACGTAAATCTCAACCAAAGAATATAATTTTGACTAGTGTTTCAGAACTTTGATTGTTTTTATTTTCTAATATTGACAAGCATAACGTACAGCCACTTGTGGAGACCGCATCCGTGGTCTAGTAGTTGAGCGTCCGCCCGGAGAGGGGAAAGTCCAGGGTTCGATCTCCGGCCGCGGCCTACCATACCAAAATACGATAAAAGATGGTACTTGTTGTTACCCTGTCTGGTGCTCGGCATTGAGGGACTAAAACAAGGACTGGTCGGCCAGGAGTTAGGAAACTGTATCTGAGTGGGGTATTCACGATCTTAGTGGGCTAGTACTATAAATCGGCATCAGTCCGGACTAATACAAGCAGCCACACACAAACACGTGCATGCTCGTCGTTATATAAGTGCAATAACCTTGGACGCGACGTTAAACCCTCACCTCACAGCCACTTGTGACGAATGTGATGGCATACATCCTGCTGGGGATTCATGCAGGAATCATGGGAACTGTTAATCCCCATGATCCCCAGTAAGGATGTATCTGGTAAGGTGGTTGCTGGTGGTTTATAGCCTATTTTAATTGATTCCACTAAATATTTAAAATAAGGGTGTATTAAGATTGTTTTATCCTAAACTGTGATACTTACAAATACCGTCCTTTGTTGCCAGGAATTTGGAAAAGATAAACATGTTGTCATCGCAGTATGGCTTCAATATTGCGGATGTGATGTAAACACAATACATTAACTCACGCACTGGGGCGGTCTGGTAGCCAAGTGGTTAAAGCGTTCGCTCGACACGCCGAACACCCGGGTTTGATACCCGACATGGGTACAATGTGTGAAGCCCATTTATGGTGTCCCCCGCCCTGATGTTGCTGGAATATTGCTAAAAGCGGCGTAAAGAATACTCACTCACTCACTCACTCATACTCTTTGTGTACTTACACAACAAACTTGAACAACAGTAGTGGCAGGGCAGGTGAGCAAAGGAAGTTCGTTGCCCGGAGGACATTCATCAACACAGCTTCTGCCAGGTCCAGTGCATGCACCTTAAACAAGGAAATCATTACACTAAAAGCTTCTTGGCGCAATCATAAATATCTCTGCAACGAGAGGCGCGTTTCTCTGAAGAACAAACTGCCTCAAAGTGAGATAATTGTTTACCTCCAATGGGGGAAAAAAACGTCCCTATTTCATCCTTATTCGATATTAAGTGAGTGAGTTTGGGCTTAACGTCACTTTTAACAGTATTGTGGTTATATCATGGCGTGTCAATTTAATGTGGGAGGAAAGCCCTAAGTCCGAAGTGACGCAGGTCTGAGACGTTTACCACTGTGGCGAAACCAACGAAGACGGGCATTGTGCTTTGAAAGCTAAAAACATAGCCGGGGCGAACCAGGCTTCGAACCCACAATCATAGGTTTCTGGCGTGCCCATGGGACGCAACACTGCACAGCAAATCCCGGCGCCTCAGACGAGGGGCCACCCGTGCCCCCCACTACGATTAAAGACAGTGGTAGATATAAATATTCTTTGAATGACATGGTCTTACGATGCCGACTGAGGGGTACGATAATTTGTAAAAGCGACAAAACCCTTTCCATATTCAAAAGAAATCTCTACTAAAAGAAGTAAAAGCTTTGTTGTGTTGTAATTACTGTTAATATGTTGTACATGAAGCAGCACAGGAAGTTAAGATTGGCTAGTCGGGGCGAACGGGGATTGGTACCCACAATCACAGGTTTCTGACATGCCCAAGGGACGCAACTCCGCACAGCGAATTGTGGCGCCTCAGACGACTGGGCCACCCGTGCCCCCAATTTGATATTCCACTTGGATTGATGAAATGCTGTTCATTCGTGAATCATTTTTTTTTAATTTGACGTTTACACGATATACGGTTTTTCCAATGGACGAGAGGTCGGTCACATGACCGCGAAATTGACGTTCACAACGAACGGCAAAATTTGACGTTCATACGTTTTCACGAGACCGTGTTCTTGAAATGACGTAAACACTGACGGACTGAAACACTGCAGTTCATAAGTGAATGAACGACACATTTTATGTTCATACGTTTTTACGAGACTGTATTCTTGACAAAGTGGTAAACGTCTGAGACCTGCATCACTTCGGGCTTTCCTCATACATTAAGCTGACACGACGTGATATAACTGGAATAAAATTAAAAGCGGCGTTAAACCCAACTTACTCACTTACTCACTGTATTCTTGAAATGACGTAAACACTGGCACACTTCCCTATACCTGGGGGAAGCCCTGGGAATTCCCTGGCACGAATACATACAGAACCGTTGTTTCGGATCATTTAGTCTCTTTAATCTTGACTACTATGTCATTGAAAGGTGTTTTTAAAGATGTTTCAAATAGATACCAAGGTAAATTCATATATTGCTGGAGACTGTCACTGTCGGTCTAGACACGAGTCGATACTACGATAGTGGCTGTGCATTTCTACGTTTTGTTCACTTGGGTGGGTCGTAGCGAGGATACTAGTGAACGATATGCGGTTTGACGTTTCTTAATGTATGCTCAAACGCAGAGTTCAAAATTAAAAGTGTGTAAATGATCAGAAACAAGTAACGCGCGCACACAAACGTACGCAAACATATTCGTTCACATTCGAGTCCTCAAATGGTTTGCTTGTACAAACACCATAAAAAATAAGGCACCGGTGGCGGGATATGCCCGTTGCGAAATTGGCGTGTACCGGGGGGTCCCTGGGTGTTCGGAACCAAACTCAAACCTCGACCATGTTCGATTCTTTAACGGGTTTGCTTGTACCAACGCCGTCAAAAGATAATCGCCCCTTGCAGGACATCGCCGCTACGAAATTGGCCTGTCCCAGAGTGTCGCAGTGTGTTCTAAACCAATTTTCGACCTTGACCATGTTCGAATCCTCAAAAGGTTTGCTTGTACTAACGCCGTATATGTTAGGCATCGCTTGAGGGATATCGCCGCTACAAAAGTGGCATGAACCGGGGTGTGCCAGTGTGTTCAAACTCATTTCCAACCTCGATCATGCTCGTATCCTCAAATGGTTTGCTTGTACCAAGACCGTCACATGTTAAGCACCGCTTACGGGAAATCACTGCTGCGAAATGGGCGACAGGGTGTCCCAGGGTGTTATAAACCCATTTCCGACATGTTCGATTCCTCAAACGATTTGCTTCTACCAAGTCAGTGAGCCTGACCGCGTGATCCTGTGTGTCGCCTCTTTGACGGAGCATGGGTTGCTGAAGACCAGTTCTAACCCTGATCGTCAAGGGTAGTACACATAATGCCAAAGACATTTGCGACCAGAATGGGTATTGCTATCAAGTCTCCGGAAAGCCAGTGTATTGGGGTTAAGCGTATATTATGAGGCGCTTCCATCAGTATTTGTATTCAAATCAGGATACTAAATATATCAAATATAATAATAATAATAATAATAATAATAATAATAATAATAATATGGGAGGACGTGGATTGTTTAACGTTTGGGCTCTTCAGGATAAAATTGTTTTGTACACTTTTGCACACATTTATTTGTCTGATGATCCTCTTGTGACGGCCTGGAATATGTAGAGGGCGTCATGGAAAATGATAAATACAAATTCTTTGGAGTAGGCCCATTTACAGCCTCAGACGTATCCAGGCCAACAAACCTGATCTTTTCCTTTTTGATAAATCAAATGAAATCATTTGCATCACTGAATGTTCTGGGGGCGGTCGGGTAGCCAAGTGGTTAAAGCGTTCGCTCGTCACGCCGAAGACCCGGGTTCGATTCACGACATGGGTACAATGTGTGAAGCCCATTTCTGGTGTCCCCCGCCGTGATATTGCTGGAATATTTTGCTAAAAGCGGCGTCAAACCAAACTCACTCACTCACTCACTCACTGAATGTTCTGTCCCTTTAACACTAATGTGATTCACAAGATACAAGAAAAACGTGACAAATAGGCGGACCTCGCTTCCGAAATGTCACGCTTACATCCCATGTCACGAAATGATTTTTCACGACATTTCCCATCAATATAGCAAGGTGAGAATAATATGTTTGTCTATGCAAAATAAATATACATGTGAGCCCACTAAGTCAACCTAATCAAGCCTGGCGATTTGCAAACGATGGCCCACCTGTTTCGATCCCAATATAATTTGATCCGGTATGAGAATGAGAACATTTTAGATTATAGATTAATTAAATCATAGACCAAGAGATAAGTTTGAGAATGAGAACATTGTAAATTATAGATGGATTAAGTCATATACCAAGAGACCCGTGAAGATCCGGGGTAGAATAGGTCTTCAGCAACCAATTCGTGCCGTAAAAGGCGACTATGCTTGTCGCAAGAGGCGACCAACGCGATCGGGGGGTCAGGCTCGCTGGCTTGGTTGATGCATGTCAAAGTATCCCAATTGCGTGGATCGATGCTCATAATGTCAATCACTTGATTGTCTGGTCCAAACTCGATTATTTACAATATTTATGTCGTCGGAAGTATATGTGGCTGCAGAATATAAGTGTACACTGCACTTGGGATGTTACCTTGAATATACATAATGGTGTGGCACCCTACACAAATCGCCCCACACATGAAATTTAGGTCTGTACTTTGTACGCTGGTACATTGGTTTTCCTGTACCTCTTAGTCCAGTTTGCATGTTGGAAATAGCCACACAGACTGTCCTAATTGAAATTTCAATTCTATGCTCCAAACACCAGTTCAGACGCCGTTCTTGCGATATATACCAATGTGTGACCACCCGTTTCGATCACCTTTAGCGACGGAAACAAACGTGGACACAAGAAAATGGTTATCAGTTACGGAGCATAACGATTTATAAATGTGGTCACTCCTATTGCAACCACTATGACGGAAAACATTCTGCCCTCATTAAGAATTAATTATCAACACATAGCCAACGTAATGAAGCTTTGCCAGATAGGGTCCTACTTTAGGTCCACATATATAACGGGGGAAAAGTGGTTTACATTTTAGTGAATGGTTATCAGCACGAAACCATCCTAACAGGATGTGCATATCACACTGAGCATACTACAACAACTGAATCTCTAGAAAATAAAGTGGGCCCACATTAGGGGGAAATTAATATTCACAAGTTATTAATTTCATTGGGAAGAACCAGCAGTTACGATAAAAATATAATATATTCAATCAGTTGTAAAAAGAATACTGTTTACCTCAGGGGTTAGATTGCCAATTAATAGTTTCACTAACGAAAACGTGCAGCGTGACTAATGACATTCTTTGCAAATACAAAAACAACTGTAATTGGCGTGACCTCCCTTTTCCAATATGATAATTGTTAATATTAATGTTAAATGTTAACTCACCCGTAGGAGTAGCAGTGGTAGGGGTGTTTGTCGTAGTAGTTGTGGTAGCCATCGTCGTAGTAGTTGTGGTAGCCATCGTCGTAGTAGTTGTGGTAGCCATCGTCGTAGTAGTTGTGGTAGCCATCGTCGTAGTAGTTGTGGTAGCCATCGTCGTAGTAGTTGTGGTAGCCTTCGTCGTAGTAGTTGTGGTTGCCATTGTAGTTGTGGTTGATATCGTCGTAATAGTTGTTGTTGTCATGGTAGTAGTTGTGGTTGATATCGTCGTAGTCGTGGTGGTTGTCATTGGAGTAATTGTAGTCGTCAGGGGAGTAGATGCAGCGATGGTAGTAGTGGATGTAGCAAAAGTAGTAGTGGATGGAGCCATGGTTGTTGTGGAAGCAGCTATGGTTGTAGAAATCGTGGGAACAGGTGTCTAAGGAGTAAACAATGTGCTGTTGATCTGATGACATGAACAGTTATTCTCGTATCAAGTTGCTGTGCAGTACAGGAGCAAAGTCTCGTAGCATGCAAAAATAAGGTTGTAGTAGTAGCGGTGGTGTGTATAGAAGCGATAGCGGTAACAGGTGTCTACAGAGTAACCAATGTTATTCTTTTTTTCATGATATACTGTTACATGTCGATTTCAAAATTGTAACAGTATGTTAACCCAGAAATATGTACGTAAAGGAACTAGTATGAAACCAACAAACAACCAACAAATGGTATACAATCAACAAGTGTTATACAAAATTCACTAGGTTCACAAATCAATGAAATTTACTGCACAACAATTACAACTGCAGTACACAATTAAGTGTTAGTACAATATTCAATAATAATAAAGCTGGTCCTGATGTTATTTTGTGTGAAAGATACGAAAGTTATGCTCTTGTCCCCATTTACGGTCTAACGAGCTACTGGAAGTCCCAACACAATGCCACCACAACATAATATGCTAGATGTTTCTTTAACACTCTATTACAGTCTACGGTATTCCGAAAGTTTACACATCACACTAGCATCTAAATGTAGTAACTTCCTCAGAACTGCTTACATTAAACAGCTAATCACTGTCCAAATACAAGGCAATGAGCTTCTACCGAATCCTAACAAAAAGAATTTAATGCAGTTACAATCATAGTTTAACAATAAAATACTACGCCATATAACAATAATCATTTCTTCTCATATCAAGTTAAAACACGTTTTAAACATATGTCAGTTCAGATAGTACGGAATTCATTCTCGTCGAATGCAAAACTAAGGTTTTGATTTAAACATATTTTATTGCGGAAAACCAAATGGTTTAGGCACAAGTGAGACACAAACTAAGGTTTTACCTATCAACCTCAGATAATATTGTAATATTAGATCAGATAATTTCTGTAATACACTAAAAATAGAGATTTGAAAATTATGTATATTTGCCGCTATTTGAAGAGAAAATAGTTCGAATATTAATTAGATATCTATACCAAATGATGCGTTTCCTTTATTGATAATAGTTTTTTCAGTTCCTTTTAATTTTGTGTAAAGTGCAATGACTGAGTGAGTTGAAATTTAAAGTTACATCGGCAGTATTTCAGCCATATCGAGACTGTCAAAGGTTTTACATAATGAAAGTAAATTAACTAGACTGATCACAGATGATATTAAAACTAGCATGTAACCATAACAATAAAGCACTATACATAACAAAACATTATGACAGGGCTACCATTGTGGGGACCCTGGGGACTTATGATACTACAGTTCCCCTGCAGGATTTACACTATCCCTGGCAATTGTAAGCAATTTTCGCCATCAGTTTAAATTAACAAATATACTAAGATTAAAGTAAGTGAGTGAGTTGGGTTTAACGCCGATTCTAAGAGTATTCCAGTCATATCACGGCGTGTCAGCTTAAGAGAGGAAAGCCCGAAGTGATGCAGGTCCCAGACGTTTACCATTTCGGTGAAACCCACGAGCACGGGTATGGTGCTGACAAACCTGAAAACATAATCGGGGCGAACCAGGATTCGAACCCACAATCATAGGTTTCTGACGCGCCCAAGGGACGCAACTCTGCACAGCAAATCGCGGCGCCTTAGACGACTGGGCCACCCGTGCCCCCACTACGATTGAAGACAGTGGTAGATATAAATATTCTTTGAATGACATGGTCTTATGATACCCACTCAGGGGGGCAATAATTTGTAAAAGTGACAAAACCCTTTCCATATTCAAAAGAAATCTCTACTAAAAGAAGTAAAAGCTTTGTTGTGTTGTATTTACTGTTAATATGTTGTACATGAAGTAGCACAGGAAGTGAAGATTTGCTGGTATCATCAGAACACCAGGTTGTCCTTTTGGGAATCCCTGGTCTTGTAAATGATGCTTTCAATACTAAGGGTATCGATGCCCTAAAAACATATATATCAGACCCCAGCCGCACGTGAGGAATACATGAAGATCGTACCTTTCTTGACAAAAATACATGAGAATATCAAGCCGAAAGCAGCGTTGGACGAGAACGAGTCAAGGCATCATTGAGATTCTCAACAGCTGTCACGTCAGGAACTAATGATTGTAGACAAGATGAAGAAAGTAGTTACAGAAGAAATTATCAACCTATTCGCAGGAAACGATTTGACTGATCTGGTAAATTTAGCATCAGGCGAAACAGTTGCAACAAATGACTTGATCAACGGTAGGCCAAAGGCTATGGGGACAATGTAAATAGCTGAAGAACAAGGTTCAGATAAAATAGACACGTGGTTACGTTTTCCCATCATATGAAATCACATGTTTCAATGAAATACAATCTTATAAGCATTTATCAGGATGTATGTGGTGTCACACGAGCACTGTGCTACTTTCAAGGCGCAGATTCTGATACAAGCCAAATGGCATTTTCACATGAATGGACACAATATCAGTTGTCTTATATGATGTTGAATCAAGATTAGATCACGGGTATACACTGCGCAAAGACAATTTTCTGGTAGGTCTGATATCGCAGAGTGGACCTTCTGTCTTTACCAGTCTTGATTTTGTCAACAGTATTCTTGCTGGATACGACAGGTTTTAAAATCAAAGAGCTTGAACTTTGGGTGTGCTCCATCAACGATACATTCAAACAATACCACATTTGAGACCCAGCTATTGCAACTGAATCTACATCGTTGGTGATCGGTATGACTTTAAAGATAGCAACACCTTGAAAGGGGATGAGCGACAGAGAAGGAATCGATCTGAAAAGAAGAATTTTCTATATCCCAGTGTCTAGAGGTACCTTATTGGAAGACCGCCTCCGTGGTCTAATGGTAGAGCGTCCGCCCGGAGAGCGGAAGGTCCAGGGTTCGATCCCGGGCCGCGTCATACAAAAAGACGTTAAAAGATTGTACTTGTTGTTACCCTGTCTGGCGCTCGGCATTAAGGGGCTAAAACAAGGACTGGTCGGCTCGGAGTCAGTATACTGTGTCTGAGTGGGGTATTCATGTTAAACTGCGGCATGGTATCTCAGTGAGCTAGCACTATAAATCGGCATCAGTCCGGACTAGTACAAGCAGCCACACACACACATACACGTGCATGCACGTCGCTATATAAGTGCAATAATCTTGGACGCGACGTTAAACCCAATTTCACCTCACCTCACCTCACCTTATTGGAATCGTTTCACGATGAACCCCAAGAACAAGGCACATCGACAGGAGTTTGTGTTTTTGTGCAAGATCCTAGTGTCCTTCCAGATAATGTGACGATGTGACGATGTGACTCTTTGGGGTGGGGAGGGGGTAAAGGCGAACGACAAGGGATATACTTGTTAGCATTTCGAATGTACCCACTTCCGATCACAGCAGACACCCACCTTGTGTGGACAATACAATAAATTTGCAACAGACACAGACACGTTGTATTATCCTCCTGTGCATGTATCATTATTGTCGCCTGAAGTATGAAAAGGATCCTCCTGACTTGATCTCAAAACTTCTGAGTACATACGTTCATAGAGGTAACAGCCAGTTACACATTCAGAAGATGAAAACGAAGGGTATTAATTATTGCCATTTACATGGTGGGACACCTTCGAAATCTTGCATCATTTAGCACATTTGAATCTCTTGATGTCACAGCAGCTGTGAAAAATGAAGCTAGAGATTTCATATTTTCTTTCTGTTATGAAAGAGAAAGCATGTGTTTGCATCAATCAAATCAGATCTCAGATTAATGCCACCAACACATGATGCATTTAAGTTCCATGCGTTGAGAGTTTCGTATATACTACCTCTGTATACCCGTGCATACCTGCGTAAGCCTGGTCTTCCCCATCCAACAGAAATTGGACGGACAATAGTTGACGGAAGACACGCGGTTAATAGAAAATGCGTCATTATCTGACATTATCAAGTCTGTGTTTTGCACATACAAGAAATCTAGATGTCTAAGTTGGGTGTTCTTGTCCAAAACCATCAGTATTCTCCTGTGTAGGTTGTTCCTGTTCCGGAGTGGAAAGATAGTGCGCTCGAGCGTCATCATTTGAAGATTCATCAGACGAAGAAAATATTGAGTGAAGTACTGTGATTCAGCATGTTGTACAGAGTGTTTAAATATTTTTACCCCCGAAGAGATCTATTTATCGATGCATCTTTGAATGCGTTTATTAGTGTTTCCACCTTTTCAAAAGTTTTCATAAACCAGAGAGTATGTGACAGTTGACTGTATAATAATCAGTATAATACATTTCTAAAAGTACATTGAAAATGAAAAATACTTAATGCTAATTTCATCTCAAGATCTTTATGATCGTAAGTATTAATAATTTGGCATGACTGTTTATTTGCCTAAGGGGCCTCTTGCTTGCCAGTAATCAACTTCATATTGACATAAACATTTATTTAAAAATTGCAATCTAATGGGGCGAAAAATCAAAGAATGAAGAAGAATTTCAGTAAATCACGTTGGTCATTTTGAAAATTGTCATGTGGGTCGTGAATATATTTTTGTAAATAAATATGTTAAATTGTGTTTTGATGTGTCTAATAAGAACGATATCCGAGGAAAAAGGAAGCTATTTCATCCAGGAAGCTTAAGAAAATCCCGAAAGAAGGGCATGACATCAGTGTTTCCAAAATGAAGATTTCATATACAGGGGTATTCTAAGTCTTTATTCATTTCATCACTCGTCTTGCTTTATATACATTTCTTTCAGACATTCCTTCGTCACTGGGTTGGATATTAAGGGAGTGAGTGAGTATGGTTTTACGGCGCTTTTAGCAATATTCCAGCATTATCGCGGCGGATGACACCAGAAATGGGCTTCACACATTGGGCTCATGTGAGGAATCGAAACCGGGTGTTCGGCCTGACGAGCGATCGCTTTAACCACTAAGATCTAGGGTAGAATAGGTCTTCATCAACAATTAATTGCCTTAAAGGGCGACTATGCTTGTCGTAAGAGACGACTAACGGGAGCGGGTGGTCAGGG